CAAGTTTCCCGCCAATTGTTTTTTGTTTTTCCTCCCGGGACATCTTCCCCTTCAACTTGCAGTTGCGCGACAGCTGCAAGCCCGAAGCCTGCAAAAGCCTGCAAAAGCCTGCAGAGCTAACGACACCCCAGTCCATTTTGGAAACCACCCTTTTAATTTTCTTCTTCCCTTGTCCTTGACACACATACACACACACACACACACTCTCTCTCTCTCCTTCTCTCTTTTTCTATTTCCCCTAATTCCATCCCTTTCCTCCTCCTCATCATCATCGTCATCATCATCACTTCTTTCTTTCCATATAATAGCATCTTGCCACTATAGACAAGACTTGGGTACATCCTCCATCCCCGGCCCCGTCCCCGACATAAGACCATCATCATGTCAGACAACAAGGAAATCGCTGCCACTCCGGCCGTTGAGCCCGTCTCTGAGTCTGCTGCTCTCGTCGAGACTCCTGCCGCGCCCGCGACGACGACGACGACGACGACGGAAGAGAAGAAGCCTGAGCCTCCTGCTGCTTCTGAGAAGCCTGCTCCTGCTCCTGCCGCCGCTGCCGAGAAGCTCGTCGATCACGCCGGTGCTGGGACCTCGACCGCCACCGTCACCGCCGCCCCTTCCACCCCCATCGCCAAGCTGGCCGCTCGTCTGCCCGAGATCGTCAAGAAGTCGGGCCACGCCGAGATGTGGGCGGTCGACCTGTCCGTTGACGACGCCCTGAAGCACGCCCCCACCAAGGTCGTCCTTCAGAAGTTCCTTCGCGCCAACAACGGCGACCCGGCCACGGCCGAGAAGCAGCTTACCTCTGCGCTCGAGTGGCGCGCCAAGACGCAGCCCGGGAAGCTGGTCGACGAGCTCTACGACGAGGCCAAGTACGGTGGTCTCGGATACCTCACCGTTCACAAGGATGCTCAGGGCAAGGAGACGATCATTACCTGGAATATCTACGGTGCCGTCAAGGATAAGAAGGCTACGTTTGGAAATGTTCAAGAGTGGGTTTTCTTCTTCTCCCCCCCCCCCCCCCCCCCCCCCCTTCTTGACGTTCTCCCACAGAGGGCAGTGTCACCATGTGGTACGTGCTGCCGCAAATCTTCCCTCCTCCCTCTCGCCCCCTCGTTCTCTTCCCACACACCCTCCCTTGGAAGAACAAGAAAAAAAGAAGAAAGGGAGGCGGAGAAGGAGAAAAGAGAGAGAAGAGAGCTGACCGAGATGCAGCTTCATCAAGTGGCGTGCCGCCCTCATGGAGATGGGCGTCCAGAGGCTCAACCTGTCCTCCGTCACAGAGGCCATCCCCGACGACGGCCCCGACCCTTACCAGATGATCCAGGTCCACGACTACCTCTCCGTCAGCTTCCTCCGCATGGACCCCCACGTCAAGGCCGCCAGCCAGGAGACCATCCAGACATTCGGCATGGCCTATCCCGAGCTCCTCTCCCACAAGTACTTCGTCAACGTCCCCGCCATCATGGGCTGGATGTACGCCGCCATGAAGCTCTTCCTCGCTCCCGCCACCCTGCGCAAGTTCCACCCGATGAGCTCCGGCACCAGTCTCGCCGGCGAGCTGCCCACCATCGCCGACACCCTCCCCACCGAGTACGGTGGCAAGGCCGGCCCCGTCAAGGACACCGGTCTCACCGTCAAGTTTGCCGGCGCCGCCCCTCCTGCCCCTGCTTCTCCTGCCGACGAGGCCAAGCCTGAGCCCCCCGCCAAGGATGACACTCCCGCTGCTGGCGCTGGCGCCGGCGCTGATGCTGATGCTGATGCTGCCGCCCCCCCTGCCGAGCTTGCTGCTACCGAGGCCAAGGCTGAGGAGGCCAAGGCTGAGGAGACCAAGGCTGAGGAGACCAAGGCTGAGGAGACCAAGACCGAGGAGACCAAGACTGAGGAGCCCAAGACCGAGGAGCCCAAGACCGAGGAGCCCAAGACCGAGGAGCCCAAGACCGAGGAGTCCAAGACCGAGGAGGAACCTAAGAAGGACTCTGCCTAAGAGTATCAGAGGCTCCTTCATACCAACCCCCCTCCCTTTCTTTGTCGTAAGATATGACGTCAGCTCAAATCCTCCCCCCTCCTCCCAGGTATATGATGTGGAGAGGTGAATATGGTCATCATATACACCTCCCCAATCTGGGGTCTGGGGTCGCATGGGACTTGCTTTTTGTTTCCCCTTCTTGTATGCTGTTGCTGTCGTTTTGATGAATACCCCTACAGCTTGTTAATTTGTGGGCCTCTGCCATCTCACACCTGCTGGATGATGATGTTGTTTTGGCCAGGTGGAGGAAGGGCTCCCCTTCTCTTTAATATAGAATGATATCACAATCAATTTACCGTCTTTATACCCCATATCTCTTCTCTCCCCCCCCCCTACTCTCCGGACTTGTGTGACGTGGTGGGTTGCTGATATGAGATCGGCTGTGTTTCATGACACAGTGTTACGTGCTTCCCCGTGAGAGTGGTGAGTGGTCATGATGACCAATCTGCTTGTATTGTAGAGTAGACAGAGTACTCTCTATTCTCGTACTTACACTGACATACCTTCTGCTCTCGGCAATGGACTTGATATATATCACGTGGCATGCTGCGATACCCCGTCTCCTTGCAAGCATGCATTGTCTGCACAGCAGTAGTATGCTGACGTTGCCACATTGGCCACTACTGAAATGGAGAGGCAATCCCGAATGGAAAGGTGATGAATGCTCAGAGAAGTGAGTAGCATTCCACGACGGATGTATGGCCCTCCCCTTGTTCACATCATGGTTCTTCGCACTGCCTCCCTGGCCGTGATGTGCCTAGCCGTGTGTGGCAGACCCCATATGCTTGGCAATTCATAAAGGGGATATAACGAATGGTTCCTTTATCATGGCCCTTGGCCCTTTGGCAAGCATCTCGCCAGCAAATGGTACTGCAAGAGGAAGGGGGGGGAAAAGAGGGTATCCAACATCCTGGTGAGCTTGAATGTCTACATGGAACTGTCGTGGGAGGTGATGCCGTCATGTTTGGCCTGTGCGTTGCGTGACCTCGTGACGTTGTTGGTGTAGACACTTCTGCACGCTGTGTGAGATATCGCTCCGGAACGCCCATTAAAAAGAACGACGGGTAGTACGATCATGAATATAAAAAGCTTCCTGTACGGTTTCCAATACTATGCAGCCGTTTCCCCTATCCCGGCTGAGTCTACCCTCTTGCCTTGGGCTTGGGGGGGGATGGGGATGAACGCACATCGGAGCAGCGAGAGCAAGCTCGGGGACGGCCAAGAGGTGATACTCTTGCAAGGCACATGCCGCGACCATGTGCTTCTCCCTCAAGGAAGATGGGAAACCGCTTGTGCGACGGTGTCGTCCTTCTTATGGTGGCCTTCATGTTCGCCCTTGCGGTCTCGCCGGACGTTGGTAAGCCAGTGGCGGGTTTCCTTCTTTCCAGTATGCCGCCACGATGACGGTGTAGTTGAGCATCTGGAGTGCTGCTATTCGAAACCCGAAGCGGGGACATGTCATTAATTGATCGTGATTGAAGTTGACTTTTTTGAGCCAGAACCCGGTCGTCCGTGGCTGAGTGTCAGCATCAATATGCCACTGCTGAGACACACGAAACAACCATGGGTTGGGCTGGGTTGGGTTGGGTTCGTCATCTGTCCGAGGAGTCTTCAAGTGCAAAAGGGGGGGGGGGGGGGGATACATACGTTAGGTATTACGAGTCTATAGCTATCGAAAGACCAGATAAATGCGGTTCACAAACTCCCGTGTATTCTCTGCTATTCATCCATGATGAACATGGCACCTTTTTTTTTTTAGAGCGAAAGGGCCCGTCAGTAGTCGCACGCAGCCACCCCCCGCCCGCCCGCCCACACAATCTCGGGCAATGATGCACCTCCGAACAAGTCCAAACTCATCCAAGGAGAGAGCGTGACACTGCTGATTTTCTGCTGCTCTCTTTTGTATTCAAATACGAAAGATTCTTCAGTATCAATCTGATATATAGAGAAAAGCGTTGCGAGGGGTGGAGGGATGAAAGGAAAAGGCTAGAGCTGGAAAAAAAAAAGAGAAGGAACAACCCCAAACAGGTTTGAAGGTTCCTTGGAGGTTGAACGGGGGGAAGTGGGAAAAGTGGAAGGATTGATCCCCCCCTTCTCACTCGTACAGTCGTACCTTCCCTAGATTTCAACTTGTCACTTACAAACCGCTGGCTTCTCGCAGTTTCATCATCATCTCCTCCTCCTTCTTCTTTCCTCGCCAACACCAGCTGTTTCCCCCCTTCTCCCACTACTCCTCGTCTCACGCACCGCCACACTCTCTTCTTACAGCTGTCCATCCCCTTTTCACCTTCTCTCGTCTATCCTCCGTCAAATCACCTCTGTTGTTCCCTCCCTCTGGCCGAATCACCCCCCTCCCCGACCACCGCGTGGACCTCTTTCTGTCATATTCTCCTCTTTCCCCCTTCCTCGCCTGCACCCAACCCAGCTTTCAGCTCCGGCAAGAGCAGACAGCTTAACACGTTGTTGAACCGCCGCCTTGGGCAACAAGAGAACAACAAACGCTCTTCTGGTGGCCGCCTATCTGGTTCCTGGTCGGCCGGCGACAGCCGCAACATAAATACGCCCTCCCTGTTACGCGTGGCAACATCGCCAAGGCATCATCGCTGGACAAGACAACGACACCATTTTCCCTCGCTTCTTTGAGTAAAACTCAACCACCCACCACTCCCTTCTACGGCTTGTGTTCAGCGCGTCCACTGTTTTTTCCCCTCACTGCTGCTGCTGCTGCTGCTGCTGCTGCTGCTGCCAAATCCAGCAACATATAAAACAAAAGACGATATCGGGGGCCAAGTTTAAGGAAACTGTGCACACCGGTGTTACGCCTTCAACTACAAGAAAGAAGGAGAAGAGTAGAAACCCCCCTTTTTTGTTATTATTCCTCAACCGTCCATTTGCTGGAATCACCGGCTTATTGGTCTCGGCCTGCCGGACCACGCGCGTCTCTGTTTCCTTACTTTGAGTGTCGGGAACCCTGTCAGGCTATCCAATCCATCCACCTCGTCCATTCCGGCCAATTACACACGCATCCCCACACCTCTGCATCCCGATCTACTTTACTCCCACCACTACTATCGCCCTCCCTTTTTCACACCTTGTTCCCATTTGCTTTTTCCTTTCTTTCCGTTTCGATCTTTGGATTTTCTCTCCACCACTGTCTTTGAAAAATTCACAACTGGGCCGGCATACTGATTTCCCTTGTCCTCGCATGTGCGCCACTCGACGCGTCTAGCCATCCGAGCTGCCACAATGTCGCTCTCCCCTGACAGCAGCTTCTCGACGCCGACATTGGACGTCATTTCCAATGTCGCGTCTTCTAACTCGACACCCCCCACCACCATCGCCGACAGCGCCAGCATGCACTCGGACATGTCGAAGAATTATGTGATTACCGTCGCCGTGGATGCTGCCTCCGAGTCTGCCGACTTACCTATGACCGACGCCGCCGCCGACGCCGCCGTCGATCTGGACGCGCGCGCAGACGCGCAAGCGGATGCCAAACGCGACAACGACCATGCTGACCCTGCCGAACACGACGACTCCTCCACAACACCCGGCCGCGCTCGCCGGACGCGCGTCTCCCGGCCTGAATACAACCTCTCCAAGCTGGCCGGCACTGCAGACCACGGGAAGAGACGCGCTAACGGCGATGTTGTCTCCAACCGCCGGCGTCGAACCATTGCCGGCACCACCATGACGGACGAGCAGGCTGCCAACGGAACCCCTCAGCGCAAAAGCTCGAGGCCGGCACGCGACAATGCATCAATTGACGCGCTGAACCTCCAGTCCCCGCCCAAGACTGCTAAACCCTCCAACACAAGACGCCAGGTCAAAGAATCGCCTCTCCCCGTTCGCGTCACGAGACGGACCGCTCCTGCACTGTCGCCCCCCTCGAAACAGTCAGCACGAAGCAAACGCAGATCCTCGACGAAGATTGACGAATCTCAGCTTCCGCGTGAGCTGCGCCGCCTGCAGGACACCAAGGAGTTTTCCCATGTTGACGAGAAGCCCATCATCATCACGGTTTGGTCCAACGGCAAATATATCAACCCCAATGAAGTCAACGAGGAGAAAGAGCAGCCGGCACGCAAGAAGACCAAAGTTGACACGCCTGGGACGCCCGACGAACCCAACAAGGAGGCACCCGAATCTGTTAATACAAAACAAAGACGCGTCAAGAAGTACCTCAATAAGGGCCTGTATGCCGGTCAGGATGGCCCTGTCGACTTCGTCAAGGGCCTGACACCGGCTGAGAAGCAGAGCCTCTCTGAGCTGCCCGAGTTGAAGCCCAGCGGTCGCATCAACAAGATTATGCCGCTGCCCATATACACGGGCATGCGCACCCTCATTTCCGGCCGCGACTTCAAACTGCCCTTCAACGTCTGCAATCCTCTTCCGCCGGGCCAACCTAAGCCTGATGAGTGGAAGAAGATGACAAAGAGTATGTATTTCCCTGTGGTAGTAACAGAGACGAGACCCTTGTTGCTGAGTACACTCGTGTTCTTCTTGATTTTTTGCTTCTTCCTTTTTTTCCCTTACTGACCTCGTGTTCTGTCAGACCGATTCATTGGAGGGTCCCGCGAGGTCTGGCGCAAGTCGCCACACTTCCACGACTATCAGTCCAAGTGTGTGTGCAAGCCGGAGGATGGCTGCAGCGAGAGCTGCCAGAACCGCATCATGCTGTACGAATGCGACGAGACGAACTGCAACGTCGGTCGGCAGTACTGCACCAACCGCGCCTTTGCCGACCTGACGGCACGCCGCGCCAAGGGTGGAAAGTACCGTGTTGGTGTCGAGGTTATCAAGACGTCAGACCGCGGTTACGGAGTCCGCAGTAACCGTTGCTTTGAGCCTCATCAGATCATCATGGAGTATGCTGGCGAGATTATCACCGAAGAGGAGTGTGAGCGTCGCATGAACGAGGTCTACAAGGATAATGAGGTAAGCAAACGACAACCCTACCATATTACTTGCTGGCCCATCCGGCCGCGGCGACTCGATGCTTACAAAACACGCATCGCAGTGCTACTACCTGATGAGCTTTGACCAAAACATGATCATCGATGCCACCACGGGCAGCATCGCACGCTTCGTCAACCACAGCTGCAACCCTAACTGCAGGATGATCAAATGGATTGTGTCGGGTCAGCCGCGCATGGCCTTGTTTGCCGGCGACAACCCCATCACGACGGGCGAGGAACTGACGTACGACTACAACTTTGACCCCTTCTCGGCTAAGAACGTGCAATCCTGCCTCTGCGGCGAGCCAAACTGCCGCGGCATCCTGGGCCCCAAGACGCGCGAGCAGAAGATCAAAGCTAGCCTGCAGAAGGCGGTCAAAGAGACCATCTCGACCGGCAAGCGCAAGCTCAAGGACCTGACCGGCAGCGGCGAGGACAAGGATAACAAGGCCAAGAAGCCCCGCATCACGAGCACCAAGGAGGCCCTGGCCACCGTGGGCATCAAGATGGCCAAGGGGACCGCTATCGCCGTCCGCAAGGGGATGTCGTCGACTGTCTCCAACGCCAAGAAGGCTCTGGGTAGCGGCCAGGCTTCGAAATCCGTGATGAGCAAGACGACGGCGAACCGCGTTTCCAAGGCCTACGGCAAGGGCGGCGCCGGTAAGAAGCAAGCCACTCTGAGCTCCCCAGCCAAGACCAAACTACAAAAGGGGCCTGCGTCAAAGACGGCAAAGAAGGCCGCCGGAAAGGCTGCTTCCAAGACTGGAGCAAATGCTGGAGACAAGTCTCCCGCCAAGGCTGCAGCGAAGCCTACGGCCAAGGCCACACCCAAGGCCGCACCCAAGACAACGGCCAAGGCTTCTATCAAAGCCTCAGTCAAGACCACTGCCAATAAGGTGCTCAAGACGGCGGTCAATACCAAGACGGCTCGCAACAAGATGGCGGTCACAAAGGTCCGCCCTCTCAAGAAGGCTGCAGCCGCACCGCGCATGACGGCGGCGGAGAAGATGAAGGAAGAGCTGGACAGGCAATACGAGATTACTGTAGCTGATTCCGACTGAAAAGCTCACTAGTCCCGGCAGCGACGATCTACGAGGGAGTGACTATCTTTCTCTTTTACCAACGATGACGTCTAAGATTTGAAGGCAGCTGTCCCATCCCTTTTTATTTGCTTACTGAGGTGCCACGATTGGGCGTATCATTTTTCTCTTTCTGTATGACTAGATATGGCTGGGCGTAGGGGATATATTATTCTGCTGCTATTTTGTGTGTTCAGTCAGGGGTTTTCATTTTCAACTCTTTTTGGCTCTAGTTTTCCCATTGCTTTGGTTCCGCTACGTGGTGTTTTTTGAGTTGATATTTTCGGAGGAATGGGTCACAATACATGTAGATATTCAACAACGAGGGGTGTATCAATATAGAGAGGTACATTGCATGTCGGTTGATGCAAGGGTTTAAGTGATGACGTACATGTGTATCGATGAAGTACTAGCAAGTGTCGGGTATCATTGCTCTCGTGGCCGAGTGTATGAGAGAGAGAGAGAGAGAGAGGGAATGAGAGAGAGAGAGAGTGTGTGTGTATACATGAACAGCCGGGCTGTCTGTCTAAACATTGCTGGCCTCCATACGATGAGCACGAGCATTGTCGACCTCTTTCTTTTCTTTGCCATCAGGCGAAGCCTCTGTGAGACCCATGGCAGAAGCGATGTCAGCCAAACGGGCCTTCTCCCTCATGAGCAGCAGTATCACCAAAGACGAGGTCTATGCCCTCGAGGCTCCTGCCCCAGGTCTCGGGGATGAGGAAGTAGGTGAGGAAGGGGGGGGGGGGGGGGGGGGGGGCGAAGGAGAAGGGGAAGTGGACGTTGTAGATGTAGGCGCCGACGATGGCGTCGACGTTGTCGAGGGAGAGAGGCAGGTGCCGCGACGGCGGCCGATCCTGTCGGTCAAGGAGCAGAAGGAGCAGGGCGGGAAGGCGACGAGCGAGTTCGCGACGCCGTAGACGGCCGGCGGCCAGGAGACCGGAGGTGGCTCCCTCGAGGCCGAGCTGGGCGAACATGGTCCGGACGTAGCAGGCGATGGCGTTGCAGCTGCAGTGGCAGCCCATGAACTGCCAGAGGAACATGGCGCCGCAGCCGGCGAGGAGGCGACGGAGAGCGCGTACCGCGTGCCCCGCCAGTGTACGAGTGCCGGGTGCCGTACTCGAGCCAGTATCCGACCAGGGTTCCGAGGGTGATGGGGACGCCTCAGCTTCTGCAGGACGAGTGGCGCTCTGGATGGGCGGCGTCGACACCTCGGGCATGTACATGGGAGCATGCACATGGGGGAGCACGAACCATGGTGAGCTGTCCGACCAAGAGAAGGGGCCGGCTACGGCGCGCCCGGCGGACAGCGTGCCCAGCCAGGGGCCGGGGAGAGGATGCTCACGGCTGGGAGACCGAATAAGCAGGGATTCTCGTGCATGACGGTCTATATACACTCTTGTCAGGGAAGTCGAGGGAGTCAATGATGACGGCCATGATGTCGGCCAATGACGGTCAAAATTTGATCAGGCTAAAAAAATAAAATAAAAATAATGATAATAAGTAAAGGGAATTGAGCCAAGTTGTGATCAAACCAAGTCGAGGAGGAGTGTATACACTTTCATCAATATTGCAAATAGTAAGATCCCAACTCTTCAATCTCCTTTTTTTTCTCTCTTCTTTATATATATATATATATATATTCATATTCATATTGATACTTGTATATACAATGTATGACCCCCAACTTCCAACTTTCATAACCGGGAATAGGTTTACCCTTCTCTCGGTACTCACATAATATTAATACCAGATTCCTGACTCCCCCATGCTTTTATTATTATTATTTTGGATACCCTTGCTCTTTGGCCCCACGGGGATCAGACCATGGGGGGGGGGGGACCACACACTTTTTTTTTCTCTCTTTCTTTTTCTTTTCTTTTTCTTTTCTTTTTTCTCCTTTTTCCTTCTCCATAGATTGAGCGGGTCCTTTCCTAGTTTTGCGGGGACATCTCCAAGTCTTTTTTGACACAGTCACACCATGATGCTCGTACATCCGGCATTGGGATTGCCGATCCCCGGACCGCAGTCGTCCGAAATACATACATACAAAGAAGAGCACTTGGGACGTATCGTACGATTTCGACAAGCCCGGGGTCGAGATTTGTTGGAAACACTCCAAAACCCGTTTGAGAGTCGGAGAGGGAAAAAAAAAAAAAAAGAAAGGATGATGACACATTCATTTTTTAAGGGGTTTGAGGGGTTGGGGGTTTAGGGGGGACGGGGGAGGCGGAGGGAGGGGACCTTCTATATACTTTTGAACTCGAGGACTCTTGCTACAGGTTCACCCAATCGAGAGTTCAATCATGTCGTTCCGAGTCTTTTTCACTTTTCACGTGCTTCATCAAGAAGAAGAAACTGCCGGGTCATGGACGGCTCTGCTCCGAGATACTTCCCCGCCTCTTACGAATTGTCAGACCATGGTCCGGTCTTCTCCGGGGGTGGCATTGGTTTCTTTATTATCCTTCTCTATAATTTTTTTTCCCCTTGTACAAGATTGTATGTTATTATTCAGTTTCTAACAACAGTATCTAGTTATATCCAAAAGAGGGAGGGGGGGAAAAAAGAAGAAGAAGAGGGAAGAAGAGATAAAGAGAGAAAAAAAAGAAGAAAAAAAACCTCCCGTTCAACTTTTTTTTTTTTTTTTTTTTTTGGGAAAAGAAAAAAAAAATTATATATATACCACAAACTACAGGCAAATCATGGACGATTTGGAAAAGACAGTCGTCATCCTCCAACAACGTATCCAGCACCTCCTCCATCAAAAAGATGCACGGAGCCGCATCCTCATTGCTCTGGCGGGCGTTCCCGGATCCGGCAAATCCACCGTCACCGACGCTCTTCTCAGAGCCATCGGTAAGACGGATGGTTCCATGGCCAATACATCTGTTCTTCCCATGGTGAGTTTCATCTCGTCCGCGTCTTCTTCCCATCATCCTGCCCTCCCTGTCTGATCACCCCGGCAGATCGTATTTCTGTCCACCGTCCCTATGCTCGGCACTGACAGACACAGGACGGCTTCCATCATACAAAAGCCAAACTATCAACCTTTGACGACCCAGACTACGCTTTCCATCGCCGAGGCGCGCCCTTCACCTTCGACGTGGAAGCCTTCATCAGCCTGGTCATGAGGCTGAGGGACACGCCCGTGACGGACTGCGACGAGCCTGAGGTCGTCATCACAGCACCCAGCTTCGACCACGCCATCGGCGACCCGATACCCGACGCCATCTCTATCTCGTCCCGGTGCAGGGTCGTCATCGTGGAGGGGAACTATACCCTTCTTGATCAGGATCCGTGGAGGAGGATAGCCGAAGTTGTTGATGACAAGTAGGATGTTCCCACCTCCCCCCTCCTCTCTCTCTCTCTATCTCTCTCTATCTCCCTCCCTCCCTCCCTCCCTCTCTCTCTCCCTCTCCCTCTCCCTCCCTCTCTTCTTTCTCTCCTTTCTTCTTTTCTCTGTTTGGCCTGTTTTGCTAATCGTTTCTTGCCCTGACGCGTCGAAGCAGATGGTTCGTCGACATACAACCCGAAGTGGCGAGGGAGAGGCTCTCGCGTCGACATTTGCAAGCCGGCATCGAAAAGACCCCGGAAAAGGCCCGTCAGCGAGCTGAGGAGAATGATCTCCCCAATGGGGAGATGATTCGTTCTCATCTCATTCGTCCAGACATCCGGATCTTCAATTGAATGGCGTCATTGTCATCTTGATCTTCTTGCTTTCTTGCCGTCAAGTCGTCATCGAGAATAGTCTCCTTCCCGACTGCAAGAGGTCGCGACTGGCTTGGAGAGACCCTCATTCTTCTCGAGTTCTCCCGTCAGAGACATCAAACTCCGGGTCCGGTGGCGTCGGGCCAGCCGAAGAGGGACATGAAGTCACTCCCATCAGCGGGCCAGTTGGTCATGTCGCCGAACCCGGTGTCCAGCGGGAATCCGTCCCACCCTGCCGCCATGATCAGGTTGCTCGGCACGATGAGATCGAGGATGTCAGCGCAGCGCTGGGCGAGCGAGTTATCCGCGTAGGTTATGCGGAAGATTGTGCGCACCGTCTCGAGATCCGACTGCCACCGGGGCAGGTCGAGGGATTCTGCGTCGCCGACAATGGCCAGGGCAATGATGAGGGAGGCGTGGAATAGAAAGTAGCTTCGTTCACATGGTTAGCATCTAATCTCCCTTCCCCCCCCCTCTCTCTCTCGCTCTCTCTATCTCTCTCACACACACACACAACCTTAGACGGAGCGGAGGGGTGAGGGGGGGTTTATGGACAGAAGAAGAAAAGAGACTTACATTGAATACCATGCCACAAGTCGATTTATATTGGCGCCCATCTGAGACAGCCCGTGGATGGAGGCGATCGTAGAGCTGGCGGCGTGCACGGCGACATCCCTACTCTTGACGTGTGCCTCGCTCAGGGTGCCGAGGGCGTCGCGTCTGCTGGTCCGCTCGACGGCCCTCTTGAGGAGGAGCTGGCGGAACAGGACGATCTTGAGGTTCCACACGCGCCACCACAGACGGCAGCGGGCGAACAGGAAGGTCGGGTCGGCCGTCGCCAGCTCGTGGTCGAGGCGGAAGTAGGCGGGCAGCCTGTCGGACCAGGCGTCCAGGGAGGCGTCCATGGCCAGGGCCTCCTCGGCGGGCACGCCCGTCGATGAGAGCAGGTGGTTGGAGATGTGGTTCGTGTGGAGGTGAAAGTCGCTCTGCCACCTGAGGCTGGAGTAGATGGTGGGCTCTGTCGACTCTGGGGGCACGGCCGTCGTCCCGGCGGTGAGGTTCTCGTCGGCGATGTTGAGGACGGGCCTGACGTCCATGGCCTCCTTGTCGGGGAGGAGGATGGGCCTCCCGAAGGTGGTGGAGGCGCCGCTGTCAAAGGTGTACAGGCCCCACCAGACGCGGCGGCGGATCTCGCGCTGCAGGATGCCAATGTGCCAGTCGGGCAGCTCGCGGTGCAGCCCGAGGCTGAGGGCCATGCGCGTCGCCAGGCCGAGGAAGTTGGACCCCGTGTTGGGCTTGTTCCGCTTCTGGCTGAGGTTGCTCAGCAGCACGAGCGCCTGCACGAACGTCAGGTTCGCGCTCTCGAAGAGCGAATCAGCCTCGCCAAACGACACCGCCCGCCGGTACAGGCCCTCGTCCACGCCGGACTGCGCGTCGCCCAGGCACCAGGCCCCCAGCGCCAGGATCGTGTGCAGCAGCATCTGCCACGACCGGTTGTGCGGCCGCGCTATCACCTCGTGGTACTGCGCGCGGAAGGTGCCCTCGTGCACGAACGGGTACGTCCGGTTGTACAGCGAGAAGTAGCTGTCTATCAGACGGCCCACCACCTCGCGGGACTCCATAGACGCAGAGAGCCGGCTCGACGCTTCCATGCCGCGGCCTGCGTTGCTTTTGGGGGAGTCCGTAAACGGCCGCCCAAGGTTGTCAGCCGTCGGCTGGGAGTGTCCCAGCCAAAAGAGCAGAGGTCGGAGGAAGAAGGCACCAGCGGTTGAGCCTATCATCTATCAGTTCACTTCTTCTCCCCCCTCTCTTCCTCGTCTCTCTCTTCACGGGATAAGCAGGTGGATTGAGAGAAAGGGTCAACATACCCAGATATCCTGCTCCCTTGGGTTCCACGGACAGAGCGGCCATGCCATCAGCCAGCCCATTGACATCCTCCTGCCAGTCAAACCCATCCGCCTCATCCGGGACGGTCTCCGATATGGAATCGTCCGTCCTATCTGTACGTCTCTCCGACTCCTCTTGCTGGTGGCCTGCTGCTGCTGCCACCGCTACTGCTGCCGGCTTGGTAGGTTGCGTCAGTTCGGCGCGCATCACCGACGAGGCTCTAGCAGGGTCCCACGACGACGACGACGACAGAGCCTCTTCCAGGTCAACATTTGGTAGCAGCTCTGAAAAGAGGGTTTCCATCTGACTGAGACGACGTTCAATGCTCGTCAGGTACCTAGAGTATTACGGCATCAGTACTCGGTTCGCGCAGGCACACACTTTCTCCCTCCATCTCTCTCCCTCTCGTGAATATCATGTGGGCGCGAGGGGGTGAGAAAGGTGTGTGTGTTTGTGCGTTGGGGGGGGGAGGGTGAGGGGGAAGAGACTCACGCCCGAGTGAGTGGCGATCGGGCAACCTTGCCGCTGTAATGGCAGAGTCTCACATGATGCCTGCAGTTGGTGCACACAGGTCGCTCTTTTGAACACTGGAGTCGGTCAGTAAGAGAAAGATAAATCCCGTCTGATCCGGCAGGGCCGTGTCTTCATACCTTGAGTTTCTTGACACGGCAAGCATCACACTTTGTTCGACAGCACGTTAGACTCGAGAAGAAAAGAGGGAAAAATGACGTGGGGGGAGGGGCAAAAGGGAGATGGAAAGAGTAGAAGTAATCTCACAGCAATGTTGGCATCTATCTGTGCCGAAGAAGAAGAATTCATCTTGTCGGTGATGTCAACGGATCCGACATGACGCAGTTTTTAACGAGAGATTATAACGGGGGGGATTTTTTTTTTTTCGAGAAAAGTGGGATGAAACATGGGGGAGGGGAGGGGAGAAAATGGTAGTAACGCAGCTTTTCTGTTGATGAAGTTTTATAAATTGATAGCGTCACCACGCCAAGCGAACTTACCCTGTAGTCCCCATCCATCTTTTTTTTTTTTGTCAGTTGTCTCCGGCAGTCCATTGATATCGGGTGATGCATACTACATTATATATACACGAACGAGACGGATTTCCCCTATACGTCCTGTTCAGGGTTCAATCCGATCTAGAATTGACCGATATAATGGTATATCTGGCGTATTGCATAGTGGCACACAGACACAGTAATATGCATATAGCAACTCTTGCAGAGGAGCAATCAGTGATGTCATCATCAAAACGTATGTGTGTGAAGAAGATAGACAGCCGTATGAGACCAAAGAGAAGAAAAGGGGTTCGCTTTTCTTCCCGGTTCAAATATCTTTTTTTTTGGGGAGCAAGAAAGGAAACAAGGCTGATAAACGAGTTTCGATTGTACTATCAAAATCTATTCTAAAATTCGGTCGGAACAAGAGCAAGAAACCAATCTAAACCAAGCCGAAACCCGTGCGATAGACCCTGTCCAATCCGTCCCCCTCTTTATTGTACCATCCTCTCAATCTAAAAACAGAAAACGTCATTGCATTCATGCCAGGCTATGATCTAACAGGACACTGATCATGTCATCTGTCAGCGTCCTGCAACTCACCGGGGGGGGGGGGGGGGGTTGGTTTCTTATTCCATACAAGGTCCAATATTTCTCATCAGAGAATGAATGAATGGCTCATGTTATTATCCAAGCCAAAGGTCGAGTCGAGAAAGTCACATCTCACTGAGTGACCGGGCACAAGACGCAGATGATGTGAGTGCACTGGAGGCACGCCCGAGTGGTGCGCCAAAGCATGCCTTCAAAACCGCAGACGTGGCAGTCCCATTTAGCTCCGCCGGAGGACTGGACGATACCGCCGACGGCAGAGATCTCGGGGTGGTTCTTGATGCACATGGCTGCTGGATGGCGTTCTCAGAGGGAACAACTGCTTTCAAGAGACTTGAGAGAGAGGGATAGAGAGAGAAAAGAAGAAGAAGCTTGATGTGATGTATGAGACAACTGTTGGGTGTGATGACATTCTAAGCTCCCTCTAGTCCGAGAACGGGAGGCTTCTTATACTCCCCGGTGGTGAAGACTGTGTGACCGAAGTCCATGATGTGTGTCTACCAGGTTTAGATAGGGCGTCAAGGCGACCAGAATGAGTCCCCTGGCGAGAGGTAACGGCAACCGCCCCGGGACAGGCTCAGCAACCATGGCCTTTGCCTTGCCCGTGCCTTGCGTGTTTCTGCCAATTCTGCCAGTCCAACGCCTGTCTACGAGGGTATATTTGGGGGGGGCTGTGTATCGGTGGGAAACAAAAGGCTCGAGCCTTTGTGTGCGTCGTGGAAAGAGTGAGGGCCTAAGGCGGGCGTCATTTTCAGAGCACCTTCATGATAGGAAACGAGGTTGTCAGGGCGCTCACCGAAACAATAAAACGTGACCTAGCCTCACCGGGTCTCTTGCCATAGGATGACATTGACGGGGCAAAGCCACAAGCAGGCGGCATCATTGCTCGCCCCGGGCAGCACCGAGGTGAAAGGAGAAAGAGAGAGAGAGCAGAAGATAGTCGAGGAGGCATCATGAAGTCATCTGATCACATGGTCAACGGCCAAAACGAAAAGAGAAAAGGGAAAAACAGAAAATATGGAGAAGAAAAAGAAAATAGGCAGCAGTAGTAGCTGGTAGGCAGCGCCTTATTTGTGTACTAGTTCGCTTGAGTTGCAATGTTGATCTGCTTATTAGTGTCAGTCGGTGAGTTGTCGAGACGAGGAAATAGTACGCTTGTATATGTGATGAATGGTCGTGAGCAGAGCCGCATTCGAGCTGATAAGCCAATCATCATTAGAAAGCATGGGAACTTCCCATTTTACCTAACTGTGCGGATGTAAACTCGCAACAAAGGTCGGAGCTCAGAATGACGTCCTTCACTCAGTATCACAAGAGCCTTTCAGATTAGACCGCCATCCATCTTACTCATACAGCCGCGGATCGCAAGCGCCCGAGCCTTGAGATGCAGAAGAAGACCGCTCCTCCGCCTCTCACATCCTTTAGCAGGGCGAAGGTATCCGGGGGGGAGGGGGGTGGGGCTTAGCAAATATGAAATATGGTATCGGGCTTCACGTCATGATAGCTGCTATCTGCTTATACTTCTTGTCCATTTTTCCCTTTCAGTTGCGAGGCGTTGACGATGTTGTATATGTTAATACTGTCGTTGGAGACAAGATGCGAAGCTGAAGATTCTTATTCGTTGTAATGAAGATGATTTATAGTATGAATAATAATACAATGTGCCAATTATTTTCAATACAGTACGATTCACACAGTTTTGCTGAACCCGAATCACCCGAGCCCTGACAAATGTCAAGACCTTCCCTGTCTCCCCAGTCTCTCTCCCCCCCCCCCCCCCCCCCCCCCCCCCCCCCCCCGGCCTTTTTTGTCCGTCAAAACGCGTCAAAGTCCTTGCCATGCAGACTTGCGTCCTCGCTCTCATCCGGTGATGCAATGCCGGGCCAGCTTTGTAACGAGCGCCAGGCGGAACGCTGGACGGCCCGCGTCATACCGTTCTTTATTCTTGGCCTATTCGGCCTGGGCACCTATGCTGTTGTCGCCCGCATCTGCAGTGAGTTGATCCCCCCCCTGCCCCCCTGCGCCCCAGTCAAAGACTTGAAGAAGAAGGAGGAGGAGGAGGAGGAGGACATCACTGATCTCCCGTGTGTTGCGCAGTCGACTATCTCTATCGTCACAAGGGCCAGCATGGCACCGCAGTCGCCCTATTAGCCCTCCACTTTGTCTTCCTCTTCGCCGCCATCCCGCCGTACGTGCGCACCGTCGTCACCACCCAGCGCAACCCGGGATCGGTCGGCTTCAACGATCGTCGCCAAGCCGCCGAGGACCAGCGCCGCGCCCTGCCCAAGCGCGAGCGGCAGGACGTCGAGGCCCAGAACACATGGACGAGCATCGACCAGGACCCGGACAGCCCCGGACTGGAGGCCTTCTACACCAAGGACGTCTTCGTCTGCGAGGCTGACGGGAGACCCCGGTGGTGCGCCCTGTGCTGGAACTGGAAGCCCGACAGGGCCCACCACTCGTCGCAGCTGGGTCGCTGCGTGCGCAAGATGGACCACTTCTGTCCCTGGGTAGGCGGCATGGTGGCCGAGACGTGTATGTCTTGATATCTCTCTCTCCCTCTCCCTCTCCCTCTCTCTCTATACTCCCCTCCCCTCCTCTCTACCCATCGCCGTGTCCCCGACTGACCTTGCCTCCCGCAGCCTTCAACTTCTTCTTCCAATTCACCTTCCACGCAACGCTCTACGCGTCCGTCTGCCTGGGCGCATCGGCCTACGCGCTGAGCCTCCAGGTGCGCGAGGGCATGTCCCTTGACGGCCGGGTGGTGGCCGCGCTCGTCGTGGCCGCCCTGTTCGGCTTCTTCGCCCTGGGCATGACGCTCTCGTCGGGCAGGTACATACTCGAGAACAAGACCAACATCGACGCGCTCGCCCGCCGGCAGCAGTTCTACCTGGCCATCCGCGTTCCCCTCGACACCCCCTCGGCCCCCGGGTACTGGACCGTCACCTACCCCCTCCCGCGGCCCAGTGAGGTGCCCGAGCTCTTCGACGACATCCAGTCGCGCAGGGACCACCACGCCAGGCGCACCTTCGCCATCGTCCAGACCCAGCCCGGCGAGAACCCCTGGGACCTGGGCGTCTGGCGGAACGTCAAGTCCGTACTGGGGAGCAGCCCGCTCGAATGGCTGCTGCCTATACGACACTCGCCCTGTTGCAGGCACGACAGCCCCGAGAGCGACTACGAGATGAACGACGCGCTCATGGAGAAGCTCCACTCGCGGTATAACCTACCACGGTTCAGACCCGAGTCTGCGGCTACCACGGCCACGGGGGCACCGCTACGCGAAAAGGCTGCTTGACCGCCTTCGGCATGGCTGCAATTGTTTCTTCTTCTTTTTTATTTCCCTCTCCTCTCTTCTGGATACTCACATTCATTTTCTCCATTTCTTTACTACTACTATCCTTCGTGTAAATATCATTATTCGGCATTGCATACATACATACAAGGCGTACGGGGAAGGGGGGGGGGTCAGGCATCGAAAACGGCTCAAGGTAAGGGAGATGAAGGTAATACACGCTTGTTGCCCGGGGGGTAACAGTACTAAGCTATCAAGTCTTGCTAGGATATAGCTTTCTCTCTCTATCCATACTCTCATTTGTACACTTCTATATCTTATACTATAACTATATCTAGACATGTAGCATTTAATATGAACGGTAATAGTTCAATATCGTCAGACGTCATTGCCAGCAACGTTCGGTAGTGGGTGGGGCAGGAGCACCCTCCATCATCAACCGTGTCTTCGATGTGCCGAAAACCTCAACACCGTAGAACTCTCTCCTCATCCGCAAAAACCAGCAACGATGCCTCCGACAAGACGTACGCACACTCCGACTGAAACATCGCCATAGAACATTCGTGAGAATCTCCGGAGCATGTCGTCGTCATCACCCTCTCATCTCCCGGGCTCTCCGCGCAGCTCGTCGGGTGGGCTCCGCTCACGCTTCACCTACCGCCATCTGTCCCAGCTGGCTTCGTACCAGACGTCCAGTCCGCTACGCGTGATAGCGCACATTGATCTGGATGCATTCTATGCGCAGTGCGAAATGGTCAGGCTCGGTATAGCCGAGGACAAGCCGCTGGCCGTTCAGCAATGGTGATACTACTGATGCACACATACTCTCTGCCACCCTCTCTACCAATGCTGACGACTGGAGGGGAGGGAACCGATGATAGGCAAGGTCTCATCGCAGTCAACTACCCCGCCCGCGCGGCCGGGATAGGAAGGCACTGCAACGTCGCAGAGGCCAAGAAGCTCTGCCCGGATCTGATAGCCCAGCACGTGGCCACCTGGAGAGAGGGCGACGACAAGTGGGCGTACCGCGACGACGCGGAGGCCAACGTGGTCAAGGACAAGGTATCGCTGGACCCCTACCGTCTCCAGTCGCGCAGGATCCTGTCCCTGATCAAGCAGACGCTTCCCGCCCGGCTTCAGCGGGTCGAAAAGGCCAGCATAGACGAGGTGTACCTCGATCTGTCGGCCCAGGTGCACGGCACCCTGCTGGAGCGGTACCCGGCCGAGCTGGGCGGCCCGCCGCCCTACAACGACCCGGCTGAGCAGCTTCCCACGCCGCCAGTGTCGGCGCTGGACTGGCAGGCTGACGCGCTCGTGGACCTGGACGGCGAGGGCCAGGAGTCGGCCGACCCGGACTGGGACGACGTGGCGCTCCTGGTGGCGTCGGAGATTGTGCGCGACGTGCGCGCCCGCATCCGCAGCGACCTGGGATACACCTGCTCGGCCGGGGTGGCGTGCAACAAGCTGCTCAGCAAGCTCGGGTCGGCGTACAGGAAGCCCAATCAGCAGACCGTCATCCGCAACCGCGCCGTCGACGTCTTCCTCTCGGGCTTCAAGATCACCAAGATGCGCAACCTGGGCGGCAAGTTGGGCGAGCAGGTCGTTACGACCTTCGGGTCCGACGAGGTGGCCCAGCTCCGGGCCGTGACGCTCGACCAGATGATGCTCAAGCTCGGCCACGAGACGGGTCTCTGGGTCCACAACTCTGTCAGGGGCATCGACATGTCCCCTGTCAACCCGCGCACCCAGATCAAGTCCATGCTGTCAGCCAAGTCGTTCCGTCCCGCTATAGACTCGGTCGACCAAGCCGTCAAGTGGATCCGCATCTTCGCCGCCGACATCTACACCCGTCTGCTGGAGGAGGGCGTCCTGGAGAACAGGCGGCGCCCGAGGTCGATCAACCTGCATCACCGTCGGGGTGGGCAGATGCATTCCCGCCAGGGCCCAATCCCCGGAGGCACGACAATCACACAGGAAGGCCTGTTCGACCTAGCGCAGGATTTGCTCCGCCAGATCGTCGCCTCCGGGGGGAGCAGCGTATGGCCCTGTGAGAACCTCAGCCTGAGCGTCGCAGGATTCGAGGACGGCGTCAAGGGAAACATGGGCATCGGAGCATTTCTCGTCAGGGGTCAGGAGGCTCTTGCTGTCAATACTGCCACGGTCACTGCCACTTCTATGGAATCATCGCATTCACACCCTGCACGAGCATCATTCACGTCCGATCCGCCCCCCACATCTACCACGGCCTCTAGGAAACGCCGCATCGATGATGGCGGGGGCATACAACGCTTCTTTTCAAAGAAGCCCATCGCCGTCGAGTCTAGAGAAGCTTCCCCCGCACAACCACTACCTCCTCCTGATGGCGGGGAAGCATGGGGTGCAGAATCAGCAACAGAAGCAGAACCAAAAGCAGAAGCAGAAGCAGAAGCAGAAGCAGAAGCAGAAGCAGAAGCAGAAGCAGAAGCAGAAGCGGAAGCAGAAGCAGAAGCAGAAGCAGAAGCAGAAGCGGAAGCGGAAGCGGAAGCAGAAGCCAAAACTAAATCACGTACTCGTACAGCCGCAGTTGCAGATGACGATTCCATCCGCTGTCCTCGCTGCGGCCAAGTATTCGTCGACGATGACCCTCGAGACCTGCAGAGCCACGCGGACTGGCATATGGCCAAGGACCTGGCCGAAGAGGATGAACGTGGCAGCGCCGCATTCGCCACCGCCGCTACCGCTGCCACCGGCCCTCCTCAGCCTATACCATCTCGCAGCTCAGCTTCCAGGGATTATCCCAGTAGCAGTAGAGGAGGCCCCATCACCACATCTTCCTCTTCGAGACGAGGGAGGGGCAGCGGCAGCAGCGGGAAAAGGCTTGAACACGGGCAGAGAAAACTTAATTTCGGATGAATTAACCCGATTTTTCTTCCCCCTCTTCTTTTTCTTTTCTTTTTTCCTTTCTTCTTTTGCTTGCTGCTTGCTGTTTTCTTGGCAAGGAGAAGAGAGAAGAAGTATAGTGATGATGATGACGATGAAAGGTAGGAATGAGGGGGCAGAGGGCTAGTGTCTCCTGCATATTGTTTGCTTCCCTCTTCGAATGGTAATCACGGTGCTCGACGCTTGATGGCTGACCACCGACCAACAGACATGCGCGAGCGGCAGCGCGTAGGAATGCAGAGTGATTGATGCAACATAGTCCAACAACGTTCTGACCATGGTAGCACGAGACGATGTTGATAAAAAGAAGAATGCGCCTGTGGTAGGCCTCCCCTCTCTTCCCATCTGCCATATTGTCGGTAGACGACAGCGGAGAGCTAGACAAACCAAGAGATTTGAGAAGTCACCATCCAGGTGCTACCGAGATGGAGTAAGTCGACCAATACAGCAACCTGTCCCTCTGAAACGGTCATCTCCTATCGCATTCCATCCCCTCATCCGGATGCTAACCGCCGTTTACTCTGGTATCAGGGCTGCAACCTCCCAGACCCTCCTGTTCCTCGTCGGGGCGGACAAGAAAGAGTTCCGCATCCACTCCTTTTACATCTTCAAGCACTCAACTCTTCTGAAGAAAACCTTCATCAACTCCGCCTGGGACAAGCCCAGAGATGTGGCCGAATTCCTCGACATCGAGCCTTTGACGTTTCTCAGCTTTTGGCAGTTTGTCTACACGGGGGATTACGATGACCCTTCGGATGGGCCAGAGCCGCCGGAAGTGCCAGAGCCGCCAGAGCCAGAGCCGGAAGTGCCAGAGTTGGACGATCCAGTAGAGCCAGAGCCGCCAGAGCCAGGGCTAGAGCCGCAGCCAATTCCGGACGATGATCTTGCTCCGGCGATTAATGAACGCATTTACCTCTCAAAAAAGGATAAGAAAAAGGCACGAAAGGGGCTGGCTAGAAAGAAGGAGGGGAGGAAGGAGGAGAGGGGATATGCGTGCAAGCTACTCTTGGACGACCTAGAAGCTGATAATGCGCTCATGAAAGAATCGCTCGCCGGTACCTTCAAAAATCAGGTGTGGTTGAGCGATTTCATAAGAAGCTGGGAAGATCCCTACTCACCGCGCAATGTCTCCGTCTCATCGACCCCTGTTCCATCGAAATCACCTCTCCATCACGCCAAGGTCTACGTCATGTCGACGCGCTACAAGATCGTCGGGTTGATGAACACCTCCTTTGGCAAGCTGCACCAGGCCTTGATCAGTTACAACTTAGCTGAGAGCGGCCACGACGGAATCATGGTGCTTCTGGAATACTGCTTCACGCATCCGGCCCCCGAAGAGTTGAAGAGGCTTGTGGCGCACTGGGCCGCCTGCAGCATCGAGCAGCTGTGGGCATATCCCGAGTTTCAAACACTGATCAAGGACCATGGAGAACTAGCCACGGCCACCATACGAAAGCTACTCCGGCGTATCAACTGAGGGCTTCCTTCGCGGAGAAACACATCATTACTGTTATGTCGCTGTCATCATAGACTTGGTATGTGCCACCAGGTAGACATGACCAGTTTCAAAAGTACATACAAACTCCCTTTTCCCCCCCTTCCCCCCCTCCATCTCCTCTCTCTCTCTATCTCTCTCCGAAGGAACGTGTCATTGCTCTATCATCGTCATCGTGAGGTTGCATCAAGCTTTTCTTAGGCGAGATGGCGGCGTGAGACTCAGTTATATATGCTGCGGCCTCCGTCTCCCGTCATGTCCCGCAACCACGTATTTTTAAGACGAGCATCAGTCCGTACGTCGACTGAAAAGTTGATACGATAAGTACTAACCATCGTCGCTGAGTCGTGGCCAAGTTACCGCTGCACGTGTTCGATCTTGATGCATCATCTGTCTCTAGACGGACATTCACGTGGAGCATTTAGATCTCTACCTCGTAGTTCGAGAGCCTATGAAAGAACATGGCGTCCGTGAAAAAACACATTTATAGCACCATGCGGCCAAGGAGGCAAAAATGGCAAGATACTTGGAGCGCAGGCCCCCCCAACCTCCCCATCGTGAACTGAGGCAATACGCCGTATCGTATACATGTATTGAGCTCCGGGTGGTCACCATTTATTGGTCAGTGTTTTCTCCGTTGGGCACCGTAGCAGGTTGACGAATGGAGACTGCCTGTGCGGACCCGAGTCGTTGGGCTCCCATGGTTACTGAGTAGGTACAGAGTACTTATGGCAATAGTGCCGCGCCAGGTGTTGATACCCAACATGACGCCGACGACACTAGACTATACGGTGGAGCCGACGATTTGCCAAAGTAGTACGTACTCCTTGGCTCCGTGCCAATGCAAGCGGTGAGATGGACACCGTCTGATGAGTGCACGAGGGCGATGCTGGTGAGAAGTAAATGCACATATCTGGTGTTCATACGAAGACGTATAGCAAAGACTTGTTGACAATGATATTCTCGACCGCCTGAGCCGAGGTCATGGTCAAGGACGAATGAAGCCATGCTGGTAGGATGTCCTGCCTCTCTCTGCGAGCTGCCCACTAAGAGTTTAGGCGTCGTCCTCTGCTGCCCATGCTGTTTGCTGTCTGGCTTCTTCTCCTGACGCGCTGTTTTTCGATGAAGGTCTCATACTCATTCGATCACGAGAGCGATGTGTATTCGGTGGCGATACAAAGTATAGCTTGCGCTCTGACCCACGACACGGGTGCGGTATAAATCTGTATTCTAGTTTTCAACAAATACTCAAATCTTGTTCTCGACAGCACGTTAAGAATGAATGACTGATGCCATCTCTCCGTTCTCCGTTTCGCTTTGGTTGGGTACCAACGTGTCATTCGGTGGGAACCAGTGACTCGACGGCGACGGGCACCGATACAGCGACAGACACGTCGCAAAAGGATCTGCATCTTTACAAGCAAGGCATCCTGGGGCGGGCACACGCTCACATAACCGGGGGACCTTAAGTCCTTGGACATTGGGTCCCGCCTAAGTCATTTGCCCCCCCCCCCAACGGGCACTGGCTGTAGTAATACTGCACACGCCACGAAATATTTTTGGTTTCTGTAAATATGACTCTGCATCGGGCGTCCCGGCAATCTGAAGCGGAAGCGGCAGACGGCACTTGCATCTCGAGTGAGGGGCAAAAAGAGAACGACGGTCCGTATAGTTGGGGGAGCGAGGTACATACACGTGCTCGTACACAGTATTTCTTCGTGCCAATACTAGTGAATAAGTCAACAGCAGAGGGTGGAGGAAAGGGCAAAGACAGGCACAAGAGCACCAGACAAAACGATACATCGAGTGGATCGCATCATGTCGGACAGTAAGGGCCGCCCTGTACTGATTTGAGGGTTGTTCCATGGCTGGCACCAATCATGACCTGAGGACATAACCTGGTCGGGCTGCAGTAGTAGTTGAGCGCTCCACTACCTTGGTTTCTGATGTTTTGTGTGGTTGGCATTCATGTGGTTGTGCGTGCACCTGGACAGCGGGCAAGACCAGTGGACATACGAAAGGGATAGAGAGAAAGAAAAAGAGGAAGAGGAGGAAAAAAAGAAAAACCTGCCCAACCTGGTTGACCTGAGGTTGGTGTTCGGAGGGTCAAGGGCCACTTTTTGCTGTAATCACTGGCTTTTCTTACCCAAAAGTAAGCAGCTCTGCTCAAGTATTACGGAGTATGAGTAGACAGGTAAACAGGGCAGGCGCCACCCACCCACACCCTCCCCTCCTTTCTGCCTCTCCGTTTTCTTTATCCACCTCCTGCTCCTTCCCCAACTCGCATTATCCGTTTCCGACTTTTTTCCTCTTCTACCTTTCTGTCTGCCGCCTCGCCTCACCTTCTCACCTTCTCACTCTTTCCATCTTTCCGTCTCCTCATCACCCTCCCGCCTCTTTACTCGCTTCTACTCAACTACTATCACCATGTCGAGGCAACCCCGCAGCCAGGCCGCTCCTGCAGCCGCCTCGGCCTCTCGCCAGAATGAATACTTTGTTCCCCGTGATGGCATCGACCGCGAAGTCATTTCGGCCGATATCTGCCGCTACCTGGGCAACGATGCTCTGGTGCGGCCTGGTCAATATGAGGTACATTTCTTCTCTCCGCTCGACTTGATTGCTGTTGGCTTCAACCAGCCCGCACGCACTCGACGCACACGCACCGTTGAAGGCCGTCAGTATCTGACTTTTCATCTCTCAACAGAACCCGCAGACTGGTCAATCGGTACCGGGCTACTTCATCACTGCCTACAGGAACTTGACGACCGTGAGATCTTTCCTGAAAATCCCTATCCGATTTCGCTTCATCGTTACATTTGCTGAGCCTGTATCTAGGCTATGATTGAGGATCTCAAGGCCGACTCTGCACGCTGGGACACCGAGAGGCGCGCGCAGACGTCGCGCAATACCCCTGGAGGTAGTTTTGCTTCTTCGAGAGATGCTGGTGTTCTGCCTTCCGCTGGACTCTCGTCTAACTCACCCACAGTCCAGTATCGTCTCTCAGAGACGCACCAGTCCCGTCAGCACCATGGCCCGACCGAAGGCCCCTTCCAGGACCCTTATGCCCGTGATTCTGCCTTTGATGGACCCAGATACCCTGGAACAGGTGCCCCTGGATATACTGGAGCTTCCGTATCTTACCAGCAGCAGCAGCAGCAGCAGCAGCAGCAGCAGCAGCATTCTTATGGTCCCCCCAGTGGCGGAGCCTATGGATACCAACAGGCCCCTTCCCAGTCTCCCCAGCCGGACCCTAGATTTACCGGTTCTTATGCCCAGGCTCCTCCCTCAGGAATGGATCGGGGATACCCCCCCAACCCGGATAACCAGTCCCCGTATGTTCACACCGGAGCCAATATGCCACCCAGGGGCTACGGTGCAAATGATGGATATGATGGATACTCCGGCCGGATGCCAACTTCGTCCACAGCGCCCCAGCAGCCCATCTATGCTTCTTCTGCCCCAGTGCAGCCAGGATACCCTGCTACCACGTCTCCTTACCAATATTCAGGTCAGATGCCTCCCACAGCTGGCGGCCCTCCCTACCAATCAATGCACCCCTCAGAGGACCCCTATGGTCGAGGTGAGTTTACGGGTTGAACTGCTCTTTCCTTTTCTCCTCCCCGGCCCAGACCAACAAGAGTCTGATTCTTCTAGTCTCGCCCGTAAACCCGGGCCTACAGCACCAGGGGTATACACCTCAGGGACAACAGTATGGAGATTCCCCCAGTCCTCGCAACTCAGTGCCTCCCCCTGCAACTGTCCCGACGCCTACTGGCGCAACCAAACGACGTAGTGACCGGGACGACGACAGGCACACACCTACCGAAAGACTCGCTCGTCAGCCTCGACGGTAAATTGCTCTCAATTCAGACTATGGCCCGCTGGTTATCCAACCAACGGGGGTCTTCCCTAACTAAATTTGCGTTGATTCCTGCATACCCGGCGGTATCTTGTCTTTTATTTTAAACAAACCCATGGAGTTCGACTTACCTGGAGACCGGCGTTTTATTGTTTTGTTTTTTTGGTTTCTCTTGTTTTGTCCTCGTTTCCTGGATTGATCCCCCCTGGACCTCGGATTCTGCTTTTTTAACCCCTCGTGGCATTTCCTTTTTTTACAAGTTGGCACCATGCCTGGATCTCAAACCTGCCTTTCGGGGATGCGGTTGCAGTGGTGATTATACCACGTCGCTCGGTTGAATGCATGCCTTGCTTTCTGTTAAATAACGTTGTCACGCCCGTGGACGTTTCCATTATACTCTGGATATCCCTGGACTTTTCTTCTTTCTCTTCCACGCTGGATATTGCGTTTTTATCTTCTTCGCATCAACTCTTCAGTGGCCTTTGTGGTTGGGAATGATGGGACCGGTTCGTTATTGATGAAAACTGCAACGGCCTTTAGGATGATGATTTTCGGCATATTTCTGTGGTGAGCCGTCGACGCTGGTGGAGGAAAGAGCGAGCTCTATAACGGCAGGGACCGTGTTCTCCTTGGTCTAATTTGGCAGACGACCTTGTTGCTCGGACACTCGACCACGGTTGGAACTCTACCTTCTCCGGATCTGGTACTCAATTCACCTCAATGGTCTTTTTCCACTGGTCACCCAGTGCCTGTCGAACCCTTTCCTTCGAAAGAGGCAAAGGGGGAGAATACCTAAGGCCAAGTGTCCGGGCAGCGAGGTAAGTCTTACTTCTGTGTTGTATATACTAGCGAACCTCCCTTCAAAGGACCTTATTGTTGCACTCGCATTCTATCTGCTCATCCGGCTCTCTCTTCCCATGGATTTTCTTCACATGTCTTTTGGTTGCAAAGCTGATCATCCAGCTTTCCTATGATGGTCTTGGTGCCAAGCCACAAAAGCCAATGGATTTGGATTATGCCCTGGATCAAACATGCTTACTTCCGGACCCGGATCTAAGCAAATGTGACTGAAAAGTCATGCCATCTACCGTGGCTCCCGTTTCATCCCTTGGTTTGCCCATGTTCTTTCCCCAATGGTCGGATGCGAATTACCAAATGGCTTGGGTCTCATGATGGCGCTGATCATCACACAAGCCCACCCCATTCCTGATAGCAATCCCTTCTTCTCTAGAGGTGAACAAAGGGCACGATGCCACGGACACATACCATGGAATGAATATAATGGAAAATACGGTAAACGCAGCAGGTGGGGGCCTGTCAGCGGACTGCTAGGACTATGCCTTGAGCATGGAATGGACGTGATGTCCCAGGCACGAGCCAGAGTACCGATTCAATTGGTGTTGTTAGGTCCCACTCAAAATTTTTGACACACAAACACACACAGACACACAAGGTATACGTCAGGATCCAGACGTTGTAGATGATTCCATGATGAACGCCCGGGACCGTTACCAATAAACTGCCTCGATTCAAGCTTCCTGATGCTTGTAACGAACCATCCACAGCAGCCAAAGTCTGGCCGGGGTGCCAGATGCCTCTGAAAGATGACCTGAGCCGGACTTTCGTGCTTCACCGGACCGCAATAGAGGCTTTCTACAGGTTTTCTGGGTTCAAGCTGCCTTGCCTTACAAGAGCTTGCATTGCCAACTTTGAGAGTACGGCATGTCCTGCATAGCCGATGGGCCACGAAACCAGTTGGCAGGTGATGAATCAGAATGGGAGGTGGATATTCGAAATCGAATGTCGGTACTTTGGGGAGAAGGGATTTAGCTGGAACATTTAGGAAATGGCGATGGCGGACGGATATTGATCGGGATTGGGGACAATGTGCTAGCGCAGGCAGGTCAATATTGCGTTGCTGCTGGGAATATCGGTGCTCAGGCATGGATGAAGGGAGCCTGATGTATATGTGTGAAGTGATATATTATGGGTTGAATATTATTCGGGGTTTTGTCGTTATTTCACTGAGTACGGAGTAGTATAATGGTAAAGTAAGTGGTGGAATGGCACTGTAGGCTGAACCGGAGGAAGTTGAACCCTGAGGTCCACAAAATATTGGTGGGACGTAAGGGTTCAGTATTAGTACGAGTACGGAGTATTAATAGAGAGTGACGGTACTCCGTAGTGGGGGAGGGGGGGGGGGACTCTGCCATGGCCGAACGTTGGCCGGGTACGTTGTTGTTCCGGTGCACACTGATGAGTGGTGGTACGAAGCAATACATGCTATAGTAGTATTATTACGTCGTGGTGACTTGGTATCACTGATGAGTCCTACAAGCCAGCATCATGTGTACATGTTAGAGAGGAAAAGGGGGTTCCCTGTCATCATCCCAACGATGACAACTGTTGCGGTGGTGGGCTAGTGGGCTAAGTATGTGTGATTCGATACGAAGATACGGAGGCCCCTGGGAGGGGGGTAGAGAGCTCAGAGAAGAGAAGACGGACGAACCCTGGCCAGATCAGACAAGTAAAGCCAGTGATTACGATGAGTTTACGAAAAGATTTGATAGGAAGCTTGTACAGATTGGCAGAGTATTATGGGTGTGATGGTGTGAAGTTATGGAAAATGCTAGTGAATTCTATAGGATCAGTAAGATCATGATAGAGTCGAGTTAAAAGAGAGGAAGGGGATTCGTAGCCATGCTGTCTAGGGTATTACTAATAAATAAGAGAAAATCATCATGGTAATAATACAGAGTTGGTGATGAATAAAAAAAAGAAAAGCAGAGGAAAGAGGGGAAGGGTGGGGGGAGCGACGAAGGAGGAACCTGGACCCAGAAGTGAAGGAATGAGCCAGCCAATGCGCCAGGGGAGGAATTCGAGTTAATACCGAGTAATAATCTGTAATCTGTATATACGTATTGATACTCGTAGAGTAATACTAGTACTTACTCCAAACTCGTCGTACTCACTCGAGGCTCGAGGGTCCGGGTACGCACACGATACGCCCTGTAGCCCTGTAGGGGTAGCGCTGTAATTTTGGCAACGGTGCCGAGATACTGCTGATGATGCAGTGTAATACAAGTACAGTGGCCACTGGCTGATGACGGAGTGTTTGTGCGGTCCAAAAGGCACCGGACGTGGATGGAGTTGGTTGTGCCCCGCCATCCAACCACAAACCGCACTTGACCGTTTCTGTGTAAAGTGAAGTCTGCTCCCCACCGCCCGACGAGTTGTTGTGTGTGTGTGTGCGTGTGTGCGTGTGTCTGCCGTGTCCGGTTGTTAGATTTTGTGTGTGCAGTGTGTGTGTGTCTGTGTTTCTTTTTTTTTTTGCCCGGAAAAAAACGACGACGACGACGACGACGCCGAAGACGACGAGATCGCGCGCGGTCCACTCCTACTCCTCCTCCACCGCCACGAATTAAGTGAGAGGTTCCTCCTTCTTCTTCGGCTTCACCACCCTTTCGCAAACACATCAACACCCCCGTCTGCGTTTTTCCCTGGTCATCATGGATGCCGCCGCCGTCAGGGGCTTGCTTGTCGCAAGCTTGGACCCCGATGCGGACAACCGGCGTCGCGCTGAGCTTCAACTCAAGCAGGTGGGCTTATGGTTCCTTCTTGTTTTGTCTCTGTCGGGGTCATCGCTTCCCCTTCTGAACTTCTCTTCTTGGAAGAGAGATTTCTTTCTTTCCCTCTGACTCGCACTCCCTCTTCCCTTGTCTGTGCTGCTGACGTCTTTGCTTCAACCCCTCCGACGAAAATAGATCGAAGCGACGACTGGCTTTCTAGATTGCCTTCTCAACATCCTCCAGGCTGAGCAAGATTCTAGCATCCGTCTATCGAGTACGAAGACCTGTCCCCTCCCCCCCCCCCCTCTCTCGCTTTCCCTCCTCCCCCTATCGGGCCACAACGATTCACCCTTACCAACATATACATGCCAACGAACGATACCTCTCTCTAACACGTACACCACATCACAAATAGCCGTCATCTACGTCAAGAACCGAGTCAACCGTGCCTGGTATGACCCCGACCCATCATCGGCCGAAAAGGCCATCGCCGAGGAGGAAAAGATCCGTGTTAGGGACCGCCTCGTGCCCGTCATGGCCGCCTCCGAACCCATCATCCGCCAGCAGTTGATACCCGTCCTGCAGCGCGTCCTGCAGTGCGACTTCCCCAGCCGCTGGCCCCGCTTCATCGACTTCACCATGGAGCTCCTCAACATCAACGACCCCGGTTCCGTCCTCGCCGGTCTGCAGTGTCTGCTTGCACTCTGCCGCGCCTTCCGGTACAAGGGCGTGGAGAGCCAGGACAGGCAGCACTTTGACAAGGTCGTCGAGGCTAGTTTCCCCCGTCTGCTGGCCATCTGCAACGAGCTTGTCACCCAGGAAAGCGACCAGGCTGGCGAGATGCTGCACCTCGCCCTCAAGGCTTACAAGCATGCTACCTTTGTGCGTTCCTCTCCTCTCATATTCGCTTCTCTCATCTTCCTTCCTCCCACCCTTCTCTCTCTCCCCCATGTTCGCTTCCGTATTGGGGAGCGGAACCGTCTGGCTGACAGATAGGATCAAAACAGTTGGAGATACCCTCCTATCTCCGAAACGAACAGGTCAATATCGGATGGTGCACCGTCCTCCTCCAGACCGTCTCCAAGACTCTCCCCGCCAGAGCCATGGCCGGCGATGAGTTCGACCGCGAGAAGCACCACTGGTGGAAGGCCAAGAAGTGGGCTTACTCGAGTCTCAACCTCCTCTTCATCCGGTGCGTTTCATTGCAGGGAGATGTACACGTGTAGCGCTGTGACCGTTGCGATAACCCGACTGACACACAGACCACCAGCCACGGAAACCCTTCGAGCCCCGGCAAGGGAGACGAGGCCATGGCCTTTGCCAAGCACTTCATCACCAACATTGCGCCTGAAATCATGAAGCACTACCTGCAGGAGATTGAGAAGTGGGTGGCCAAGACGGCCTGGCTGAGCCGACCCTGCCTGTCCTACACAATCATCTTCCTGGACGAGTCAGTGCGGCCCAAGGAGATGTGGATTCACCTCAAGCCTCACTTGACCAATCTGGTGACGCACTTCGTCTTCCCCATCCTGTGCTTGACAGCGGACGACCTGGAGAAGTTTGAGGACGAGCCCGAAGAGTACCTGCACCGCAAGCTCAACTACTTCGAGGACGCGTCGGCCCCCGACGTGGCCGGCGTCAACTTCCTCGTCAACCTGACCAAGAACCGCCGCCTCGAGACGTTTGAGATCCTCAAGTACGTCAACCACGTCGTCAACGAGTATGAGCAGTCGCCCGACGACAAGAAGAACCACATCGCCAAGGAGGGCGCGCTCCGCATGATTGGCACGCTGGCGCCCGTCATCCTGGGCAAGAAGAGCCCCATCGCTGGCCAGGTCGAGTACTTCCTCGTGCGCTACGTCTTCCCCGAGTTCAGCAGCCCGCACGGCTACCTGCGTGCGCGGGCCTGCGACACGATTGAGAAGTTTGAGCAGCTCAACTTCCAGGACCAGAACAACCTGATGAGCATCTACCGCCACATCCTCGACTGCATGGCCGACCCGGCGCTCCCCGTGCGCGTCACGGCTGCCCTGGCCCTGCAGCCGCTGATCCGGCACGACGTGATCCGCAACGAGATGCAGTCGGCCATCCCAACCATCATGCAGCAGCTCCTCAAGCTGGCCAACGAGGCTGACATCGATGCCCTCGCCAACGTTATGGAGGACTTTGTCGAGGTCTTCGCCGCCGAGCTAACCCCCTTCGCCGTCGCCCTTTCGGAGCAGCTCCGCGACACCTACATGCGCATCGTCCGCGAACTCCTCGAGAAGGAGGCCCAGGCCGGCGACGACGGCGACGGCCTCACAGACTACGACGACAAGAGCATCACCGCCTTGGGTGTCCTGCAAACCATCGGGACCCTCATCCTCACCCTCGAGAGCACACCCGACGTCCTTCTCCACATCGAGGCCGTCCTGATGCCCGTCATCAAGGTGACGCTTGAGAACAAGCTCTACGGTATGCCCTGACCTTTTCTCTATCCCTTTCCTCCTTCTCTTCTTCTCTTGTCCGAAGCTCCTGTTTCCTTTCGATCCCCTTTCTTCCTTTCTCTTCTTCCAATCCCCGACATCAAAAGCTGACGCAGAGACATATGCAGACCTCTACAATGAAGTATTCGAAATCATCGACAGCTGCACCTTTGCGGCCAAGAGCATATCGCCCAACATGTGGCAGGCATTCGAGCTGATCCACACGACCTTCAAGTCGGGAGCCGAGTACTACCTGGAGGACATGCTCCCGGCACTGGACAACATTGTGCAGTACGGCGCGCCGCAGCTGGTGCAGAACCCTGAGTATATCGAGGCGCTGTACTCGATGATTGCCGACATGTTCACCGACGACGTCCAGGGTCTGGAGAGGATAAGCGCGTGCAAGCTGGCCGAGGAGATGATGCTGTGCCTCAAGGGCTACATTGACCGCTGCGTCGAGGGCTTCATCGGCATGGCCATGGGCATCCTGGCAACGCAGGACGTCAAGGTCCGGACGTCGAGAATCCACCTCATGGAGATGGTCATCAACGCCATCAGCTACAGCCCCCTGCTCGCCCTGCAGGTGCTGGAGAGCAAGGGGTGGACCAACCGCTTCTTCAGCCTCTGGTTCAGTAACATGGGCTCCTTCAGCCGCGTCCACGACAAGAAGCTCTGCATCATCGCCATCACCGCCCTGCTCAACCTCAACCACGACCAGGTGCCCGCCAGCATCTCGGTGGGATGGCCGCGACTGCTACAGGGTGTTACCGAGCTGTTCATGTCCCTGCCCAACGCTATGAAGAGTGAGTTCCTTCCCTCCCCGTCACCTCCTAATTTTCTGTCTGATTTGATTACTTGCCTACTTTAGTACTGACTTTTTGAAAAAAAAAAAAAGACCGTGAGGATGCTCTCCGTGATGATTTCCAATTTGGCGGATCCTACGACTACGCCGACGACGACGAATGGGCAGACGAAGAGGCCAACTGGGATGGCGGCGACGAAGTGGCTGCGGCTGCGGTGGGAGCTGTGGAGTCCCAGCAGCAGCAGCAGCAGCAGGGTGGCGCCACTGATGCCAAGGATGAGAGTGCTGCCTATCTCGAGTTCCTCAACGAAGAGGTGCGTGTCCGGTGCTCGACAGTCAAGCTTGACTGGCTCTCCTGACTGACAAGACACGACAAAACAGGCGCAAAAGTTTAGTCACGTGGTTGACGACGACGACGACGGTGATCTCGGAGAGGACAACTTCCTGGACTCGCCGCTTGACAAGATTGAGCCCTATCAGCTGTTCAAGAGTGTTATGTTACGTGAGTTACCGTCCCGTTCCATCAGGGTCGTCAGGTAGAAGAGGGAAGAGGGAAGGGGGAAGGCGGACGACAGGGAGATCGAGGCCGGGACAGTCACTGACAAGAGCTGTTTACGATTACAGGCATGCAGCAGGAGCAGCCCCAGTTCTACGGATCCCTCACCGGACAGCTCACGGCTGACCAGCAGACCGTCCTCCAACAGGTCATGGTGCGAGCCGACGAGATCGCCATCGAGCAGGCCCGAGCTGCGGAGGCGGCCAACCTTGCTGCCCAGCAGGCTGCGAGTGGCGTGGCCCCTGCTAGTTAGAGGAAGGCGTGGTCATAGCATCTGATGAGAGGGAGAGGGAGAGAGAGGAGGAGAGAGGAGGAGACGCTATATAGCGAAGACAGACAGATGATGAAACCGTCGGTGGAGGAGAAGGGAGAGAATGAAGAAGAAGCACGCAGAGAAGACAAGGTAAAACAAGGCGGGGGGGGAAGAAGAAAAAAAAAAAGAGAGAAAAAGAAAGAAAAAAAGAAAGATATTTTTGGTAGTCAGTAGAAACGACAGACACCAAGACGAAGGGCAAAGATACCATGACCAAAGAAATGATGGGAAGGTTTTTTAAAGAGTTTATGAGTAAAAGAGTAAAGGGGAGGGGGGGGGAATGTTGAATACAGATTTCAAAATTGATCTCTCAAGGTAAAAGTATTATAGAGTGTCTGCTTGTATGTATGGTGGTGACCTGGTTCTCTGTACTTCGTAGATATAGTATCTACTTGTCTGTAGGAGGGGGGGGTGCAGCGTATATCTATCTATTCGTATTTGAGAACAGAAGACAGAAGGCTGACCAGGATGATGATGGGAGATAGACCGAGATGGAAAGATGGAAAGAGCAAAAGAGGCAAAGAGCGATGGAAGTAGCGGGGTACGGCGCCTACCGCCATGTGACAGTGTCCCAAGAGGGTCCAAGGGGTTGCGATAGCAGGGGCGAGGTCTAGAAGAGGCCAAGTGGAGTTTGCTGTGCTTGAGACAGCCCAGAGCTCAGAGCCCAGAAGGCCAGGCAAGCGACGTTTTCTGTCGGTCTGTGCTTTGTTTGCTTCGCACTGCTTTCACCTGCTCGCACTAATCTGTACTTTGCTCTTTGTTAAGATTTCGTCATTACCTGACTCTGTCATTATAGGCCCTATCAATCGCCATCATTACCTCTTCCCTTCTTCTTCTTCTTCTTATTCACATCGCTTCCGCTTCTCCCCCCCCCCATCACATATTCCGTCCATCTAGGCTTACAGACGACAATGACGACACGGTATCGCGTCGAATGTGAGTTGAAGCAACCCCCCCCCCCCCCCCCCCCCCCCCCATTAGGCATGCGCACCGACCGACCGACTGACTGACTTGACTGGCCAATGTAGATGCTCTCAAGACACATAGGCGCGATCAATTCATCGGTATGTCATCAATGCGGAGGGAACGGATGAGAAGAAGGGGAAGAGTGACGAGGACGAGAAGCTGACAACCCCCTCCCACCTCACAGAATGGATCAAAGGTCTACTCGCCGTCCCGTTCGTCCTCTATTCTGAGCCGACGGGCGTATTCGGCGGCAGCGTAGAAGATGAGCACAGGAGCATGGCCGAAGAGGCTCACAGGCGGTATGCCGAGATAATGCGAGATGTTGAATTGATGATAGATGACGATAGTCAGTCCCCCCCCTCTTCCTATATCGGTAAAGAGAAAAAGAGAAGGAAAGCCGAAGAGATGGAGAGGAGAGATGCTGACATAAATCTACAACAACAACAACAACAACAACAAAAAAGTCTCCAAGCAAGATCATCACACAGCCTTCCCCTCCAAACTACGCATGCTGGTACCGACGGCGGGGCCATTCTTCACACGTCTACCACTCGAGGCGGCATTCAAGTACCAGGATCGGAAGAGGTACATGTCGTCCAGACGATACGTGGCGCCGTCCTTCAACGACGTGAGACAGATCCTCAACTCGGCGCAGGTCATGGCCGTCACCGGGGGTGCTCTGCAGCTGGCCACGTTTGACGGTGACGTCACGCTGTATGATGACGGGCTGTGTCTGGAACCGGACAGTCCTGTCGTTCCTAGACTCTTAGGTACGCATGCATACCACTAGCGGCTCCCTCTCCCTCCCTCTCTCCCTCCATCTCTATGGATTTCATGTTTGGCAACAGGTCAAGGATGTACACTGACTCCGAGGCAGACCTCCTACGTAAAAACATCAAGATCGGCATCGTCACAGCGGCAGGATACACCACGGCAGACAGGTACTACGAGAGGCTCCACGGCCTCCTGGACGCCATAGCCGACGCCACGGACCTCGACCCCGTCCAGAAGAGCAGCATCGTCATCATGGGCGGCGAGGACAACTACCTGTTCGAGTTCTCGCCCAGCTCCCCCCACCGGCTGAGCCCGGTGCCGCGCGACCGCTGGCTGACGCCGGACATGGCGGCCTGGTCCGAGTCGGACATCTCCTCGCTCCTCGACGTGGCCGAGTCCGCGCTGCGCGACTGCGTGCGCAACATGAACCTCCCCGCCACCATCGTCCGCAAGGATAGAGCGGTGGGCATCGTCCCCACCGATCCGGGCGTGCGTATCGCCCGCGAGAGTTTGGAGGAGACGGTCCTCGTCGTCCAGCGTATCCTAGAGGTCAGCACCGCCTCTGCCTCTGTATCTGCATCTGCATCTGCATCGGCTGCGAGCAAACACAGCCGTAGCGTATCCGTCGCCTCGACTTCTCGTCCCCGTCAGAAGATCCCCTTCTGCGCCTTCAACGGAGGGAGGGACGTGTTCGTCGACATTGGCGACAAGAGCTGGGGCGTCGCAGTCTGTCAGCAGTGGTTCGGCAGCGGTGCCGGCGGTGGCACGGGCACGAGCACCATCAGCGGTCAGAATACCCTCCATGTTGGTGACCAGTTCCTCAGCGCTGGGTCCAACGACTTCAAGGCTAGGAGCGTGGGTACTACCGCTTGGATCGCCAGTCCTGCCGAGACGGTGGATCTGCTCGATGAGTTAGCGGATCTGATGCAGAAGAAGCTGTCTTGACCCGGGTAGGTAACCAGGCCACAGATCAGGCTATATATACAATGTGTTTTCGACAGCAGTCATGACACTCATGCCAACACAATTGATACTGCACTCCACGTGTAGGGGAATATCACATCATCACATGGCAACGTCTGAAGCAAGAGGTTCCAGGTGTACGCGATCATGGGCATTCAGGATTCCCCCACTGTGTATTACATGGTGAAAAAATGATGTTTTGTGTTTTTTCTATGACAGATAAAGAAGAAAACTCTTGGACATTGTAATACATGAATACCTACCTCCCAATGCACAACCAGATGTTCAATATTCAACATCACATTATCACACTCACTCACAAGGTTACACTCGCGACATGACAATACTGACAAAGACATCAAGTACACCCGTCTTATTCATTATACACGTCAACCAATAAAGGCATAGTTAAAATCAATCATGCCAAGTGATTTCAGGTAAAGTCATTTTGCTTTCTTTTCTTTTCTTGCTTTCTTTCTTTCTTTCATTCCCCCCTACATTCCAAAAAAAAACCCTTTTTTTTCTTCTTCCGCTTTCTTCTTCTTTCCCAACCGCCCCTCCCCCTTTTTCTTTTAAAAAGAGGGGGTGAGAAAAGAACACTCCAAATCGACAGAGGACCCTCCCCCAAACGATATCACAAGCGTTAAAAAAAGTGATAAAAAACGAGGACTCAGTTATATCCTCAAGTGCTTTTTGTTTTTCAAAAAAAAAAAAAAAAGGTATAAAAAGTGTAAATGTAGATGTAGAAAAAAAGAGAAAAAAAAAAGGACTCCAAGGATGAGAAATGAAGATAAGTAAATAAAACCCCGTCTCTTGTTGTATATATGCGCTATGAATGTGGATGTGATGTGGTATATAAGGGTGTAGACGGGGGGTTAGGAAAGAGGTGAGAGAAGAAGAGAAAAGAAAAGAGTGTGGGGATTGGATTGGGATGGAACCAAGGTTGTATGCGTGTATATAAATGGAATGATGAATCATGTGACATGAAAAACCAGAATTTCCGGATACATTCTCAAAAAGACCTCAATACCCAGGCTGCCCTGGCATCTTTCCCAGAGAATGACCCTGAGCCTTGGTGGGCAGGTGATTGTGGCAGAAAATCTTCTTGGGTCCGTTGCGCGTGTTATCCGGCTTGGTGGCGTCGATGACGAGGGCCGGGTCGTCGTACGACTCGGGCTGGCAGCACTCGATATTCTTGAACCAGCGGTTCTTGACCACGTCCTCCATGCTGATGCGGCGCTTGGGATCCGGGTTGAGCATCTGTAGCATCAGCCGACGCAGGGCCGGCGGCGCAATCACCGTGTCAAACGCCTTTTGGTTGGGGTAGTCCGTCTCGGTGATCTTGGCCGTCTCCGGGTCCGGGTGCGCGGCGTACCACTTGTTCCACCCGCGCACCAGGTTGTCGTACTGCGGGTTGCCCTCGGCCGCGCGGTTCCAGATGGCGCCGCCAAAGGTGAGGTAGATCATGACAATGGCCGTGCTCCACACGTCCAGCGGCCGCGGGTCGTACTCGCCCTTCTTGGACAGGACCTCGGGAGCGATGTAGGGCTCGCTGCCGCAGATTCCCGGCGCGCACAGGCGCACCTCGCCCATGTTGACGCCGCACTGGCCTCCCGACTCGCGGACACCTGGGTGCGTGCCGCAGAAGACCTCGGACACGCCAAAGTCGGTGATCTTCAGCTTGCTGTCCTTGGTCATGAGCAGGTTCTCCAGCTTGATGTCGCGGTGGGCGATGCCGTTCTGGTGCAGATACGCCACGCCCTGCGCGAGCTGCTTGAACAGGCAGAGGCGATCCGACTTCCGGCTCTCGTCGCGGAGGTAATTCTTGGAGACGAGGCTGAACAGGTCGCCCTCGGAGCAGTACTCCATGACGTGGTCCCAGCGCGAGTGGTCGGTGCACAGGCGTATCGTCTCGACGATTCCGGGGTGGTGGAGGCTCTTGGCGATGCTGTACTCGGACTTGATCTTCTTCTCGTACTCCTCCTTGCTCTCGCGGTGAGACTTGCCGCGGAACTCCTTGACGGCGTACAGCTCCTCGGGGAAGCCCTTGCGGTGGATCAGCGCCACCTTGGAGGCGACGCCCTTGCCCAGGTGCTTTCCGTGGCGGCCGAGGAGCTTGTGGCAGTACTCGAACTCGTTGGACAGCTCTGTCACGTCGACGGTGAAGTCGTCGGGCAGGCTCAGACTCATGCGGCGGGCCTTGGCCCCCGTGCCGGAATCAGGAGGCATGGCCCAAGGCTGGCGCTCGGGTGGTATCGTGTCGTGCTCATTCTGATGGTGGTGGTGGTGGTGGTGGTGGGACTGGGATATGGGTCGGTGCACGTTGTTGCCGTCCTGGATGTCGAAGCTGTTGGCGCGGCGGGGTGGACGGGGCTGGCCCGCCTTGCCATTGGGGTTCAGGAAGTTGATGGTGCGTCCGCGCAGGGTGAGGCCGGTAGACGAGCGGTTCTTTTTCCTATCGTCAAAGTCGACGTTGGAGCTCGAGGCGGCGGAACCGTTCTGGGGGACCGATGTCGACATGGGACCACCGTCAGCGGCAGCGCCGTCGGTCTCCTGGCAGGGCAAGGGTGGTGAGGGCGGGGTGCTGCAGCTCGTCGTGTTGCTGGAGCGGTTCACGGAGAAGCGGCGGGTGTGCTTGACCGAGGGAGGTCGGCTGTAGGATAGGGAGCGGGAGTGAGAGTAGGAGTTGCTGGGCGACCTCATGTTGACGTCGTCGTCCTGTCGCGGCTGGGGTATCGGGCGAGGCGACGTCTGTGAGTTGCCATCCGGGCTGGCGACAGCGGGCGACGACGTGGTCAGGGGAGTCATGGGGGTCATGACCGGTGGCGAGGCGGCAGCCCCATTGGAGTTGGACCGGCGGAATAGGTTGGTCATTGTGCGTTTGATATTAGGAATGGAAGGACGGCGGGAGGTGATAGAGGGAGTGGGAGTAGGGAGAGAAGAAGATGGGGTGGCAGCAGCAGTCGTGGGGCCCTTTTGCGGTCCCTCGGAGGTGGGCGAAGCGGGCTGTCGCTGCTCGTTCTGGCGCTTCTGCTGCTTCGGCTGCGCGCGCTCCTTCTCCTCCTTATGGCTGGGACTCTGGTCTGCAGCACCGTTGTCGTCGGCCGAGACACTGTCTCGGCGATGTGTGGCGAGAGGTGTCGCAGGCGATGCAGGTACGACAATGACGGCCGGATTGGGCTTGGGGGTGCCGTTCGCGTTGTCGGCGACGGGGGCCTGGTAGGAAGTGGTGAAGTGCGAACCAGGACGCGGATAGTCGAACTGCGGGTTGTAGGGTTCGTCGAGGGAAGAGGTATTCGTCAGGTGGTTTGACAATTCGTCGGGTGGCAAATCGTCCGAATGGCGGCCACTGGTCGGGGTGACGGGCTCGGCAGGGTCCTCGTCGAGCTCGTCGCTGCAGCAGAAACCAGGCTGCTCCTCAAAGATGGGGCTGTGGATATTGTCGTGGAGCAGGTGGCGGGGCGGGCAAGAAGAGTAAGTCTCGGGTGAGGTGGTGTAGAGATCGTAGGTGGTAGAGGAGGCGAAGGAGGAAAAGGACGAGGGGGCGTTTTGAGAAAAGGACGATATGCTAGTAGCGTAATGCTGTTCTTTTTCTTGAGGTTGAGGGGAGGAAGAAGAAGGCTTCTGTTGTTGGTACGCAGAGGCGGGGCGTTGCTGATGCTGCTGTTGCTGCTGCTGCTGCTGCTGCTGCTGTGCCTTTACCAAATCACCTTCCGGGTGCATCGATGACGTGCCGTTTGTGGTGGCGGCTGGAAGAGGAAAGAGTTGATGAGGTCAGCAACCATTAAAAGAAAAAGAAAGAAAAAAAGACCCCAAAGTCACACCAAAGAAAAAAATGTAGCAGTAATGAGAGAAGGTGAACAAAAAAGCGACCAAGAGAATAGAAAGGGTAAAGAAGGAGAAAGGGAAGAAAAAAAAAGAAGAAAAAAGAGGAATGATCGGGTAAGAAGTAGCTGATTCCTAGCAATTGGATGGATCAAGAAGAAGTGGAGTGAGAGTGAGTTGGTGGAGGGAAGGAGCAATCGCAGAAGGATTAATTCCAAGCCAGGCGAGGGCAAATGTCAGAGTGAAAAAAAAAAGGAAAAAAAAAAAAAAGATAAAGAGAGCGAGAACTAATAAAATGGTAGAATTGGAAAAGTAGGGAAACCAAGACCGACCAACTGGCAACTCCGTATTACTTGGCAGTAAGTATTAATACTGGCAGTAATAGGACCACTACTAGTATGTAGTAGCCAATGGACTTACTCCTTGTACGGAGAAGTACGAGCAGTAAAATAGCGAAAACGGAGCTGGTCGGTCAAGAGCAGGGGAAAAAAATTTCAAGAATAAAAAGATAAATAGGGCAAAAAGAAAAAGAAGAAAAAAAAAGGAGGGAAAAAAAAGGTGAATACTACATGTAAAGAGGCGGGGACGCCGAACCAGGTCCGGGTAGGAGAGAGGGAAAGAGCGAGCGGCGCGCACTGGCGACTTGCACGCAGAGAGATGGGAGAAACGGTTTGTGGTGGTTGGCCCGGGGGCCTGTTGCAGTGGAGAAGGGGGTCACGTCATGGGGCTCTCAGTGGTCCCTTGGTAAGCCTCCTCTGTGCAGGACTCTGCAGGTAAGGTTCAGTGGCTTTTTTCTTCCCACTCTCAGAGTTCTTTCCAGGGCTCTTCCACCACCAGGAACCCAAAGGACATGGAATCCAAAGAACATGGAACCCAAAGAGGGAAAAGGGGGGGGGGGGGGGGGGGGGGGGGGGGGGGGGGGGGAGTGTGATCAGGTGCAGTGTGGGGAAAAGGGATCTGATTGGTCGGTTGCGTGGGTGGAGTGTACTCTAGGATGGGCTAGAGGTAAAGGGGGGGGGGATGATGCGAATGCGATGATGAGACAGCAATAACAAGAGAAAAAGAAAAAAAGGTAGTAAAGGTAGAATGATGATGTGATAGAAGGTTGAAACCAGGGAGGATTGTGAGGGATAAGATGGAGAGGATCTGAAAATTCCATAAAAAAATCAGAAACAAAAAAAAAAAACTCACTTGTTCCTGGGATATTCACAGGCAAGGTTGGTTCTGATGACAATGACGGTGCCATGATGATGCTGAAGAACTCGTATCGTGCGGTAGAGAGGGGGGCGGGGCGGGAAGAGAGGAGGCAAAATGTCGAGCCAACCACAAGTCGCAGTGCACCCACGCAGTCTAGGAAGAATTTTTCTTCTTCTTCTTGTTCAGGTATAGGGCCACAGAGGACGTAGCTTCTGGATGGTTTTCGTAATTGAAACACGCGCGCGCGCGCGCGTGTGTGTGTGTGTGATGTGTCTTTCTGTTGGAAGCCCCGCGGTGTTGAAGGTTGGTGGACAAGAGTGACTTTGAGAAGATATTCAAGGTTTTCGTAGACACCGACGACACCTTATATAACTGCAGGTGAAGAATCTCTTGGAAAAGAGTGAATCGGAGTGACGGTACGTTTTCTCAGAGGGGATGACGGACGATGACGGTATTGTTGATAAGCGTAAAGCCTGGAAAAGAGGTATAATATCGTCAAAGATGTTGGTGGGAAGCAGGGTTGACAGCTTGGCGTACACACGGCATCCGATTATGTCCGGTCCACCCCTCTTTCTTTCAATCCTTTCTTTGTATCTTTTTCTTCTCGTTTTTTTCTCTCTCTCGTTTATCTTCCTGGTGCGGTTATATCGGCTCTTTCTCGACAATAGGATGTGTATTTCGTGTGTCGTTTTTTTGGTGGCGTTGTCGTGATCGTTGTGTAGGGGAGGAGAAAGAAGGAGGGTTGGAGAAGATGGCCAAGGAGATATAAAGTTCTTATCAGATTTTCAGAGAAGAATAAGAAGAGACAAGGGTCTAGGAGGATTAGACAAACAAAGAAATAGAAAGAAGAAGGGGGAAGAAGAGAGGCAATAGGGGAAGAAATAAGAAGAAGAAGGAGAAGAAAAAGGTCTCAGTTGATCCGCAATGAATATCTTATTATAATCCCAGACACACAAGAACAAGAAGAGGGTAACGAGGTACAAATCATGGGGGGGGCGTGGATGTGGGTGTGGGAGTGTGAGAGAGAGAGGGGACCCTTGATAAGACAGTCAGTCTAAATAGTAATGATGCTACTATACGGATTACTCGTACTTGTATTAATTAATATTCCGTACTCTCTCTCTCTCTCTCTCTCTCTCTGTGTCGAGTCCGGATCTGCGGCATACAGCATGGAACCTGCAACTGCGAGTATAAATATATACATGTATCATGTATGCATGCACAGTACAGGATCAAAGGGGGCTCTGCTTTTTGCCAACAAGGCAGACTGACGGGTAATAAAATAATACAGATGAAGAATTGCCAAGATGAACAATGACAACTAACAGCAACGACGACGACGACGACGACGACGACGACGACAGCTGCGCCTTTTGCAGCTGCTTAGATTGGAAATAATACCTCGTCAGTTGCGCTCGCCTGCACGGACCTTGGATTCCCATGACGGAGTTGGGATCTCTGTCTCTCGTCTCTTGCCTCTTGTCTCTCTCTCTCTCTCATATCGTATCGTCCCATCTGGGCACTATCATTACCCGTAGCAGCTCGTAGTCAACAGCGTACAGGGGATAACGATAACTTGTACGAGCACAGAGTAGAAGAAGAAGAAGAAGAGTATACTAGGACTAATGAGTAAATACCGTGCATCTCCCGTACACAGTGATATGGTGCGTGATGTACGTCGCAGCATGCGTACCGAGTACAACGGTGAAGAGTGGGGATCAGAACAGGTATCAAGGTATCAATGATAAACCGAGGCTTTGTTGACCTTTTTTTTTTTTGGTTCGAAAGAGTAAAGAGTACGAGTATTATTATTGGTATCGGTACTAGTACTATTGCTCGTACCCGTTATTACTCCGGTCTACGAGTACGTACATGTACGCAACCCATGTCTCGGGTCCCCTGGGACTGGCATGTTTCTCCTCCTGCCCCAGATAGTTGATCATCGTGACGTGGAGGTCTCCTGGTCCATCTGTCTTGACCGCGTCTTCGTAGCAGGCTTGACTGCTGGGAAGTCGGCCGTCCCCTAGATCGAAGGCAGAAGAGAGAGGGAGAGGCAGAAGAAAGGAGAGGGAAGAGTAAGAGAAACGATCCACTAGAACTCCGTGGATCGGACATGTGTGCCGCGCGCGTATGTACGGATACTAGACGTGCAGTTTTTCTTTTCTTTTTTTTCTTTTCTTTTTTCTTCTTCTTCATGTGGGGGGAGGCTGTGGGGGGGCTCACTTTTCTTTTTCTTCTTCTTTTTTTTCTTTCTTTTTTTTTTTGGGACGGTACGTAGCCAAACTCGTACATGTACATACGGAGATTGCTGGCTGCATCATCGGGTCTAGGCTCGTGGCTAAACAAGAGAGGAAGAGAGGGGAGGAGGGAAAATTCCCAGGATTTTGACGAGTAATATTCATTACATTATCTTTTCTCGAGCCATTATTCAGATGCTGTAGCTATATAATATATGATATATGTACATACGTGTATATGTAATACCAAGTATCCAGATCTCATCATGTATATTATCATTACTTGTATTGATAATACTTGCTGTAGTCCAACATGGTCACGAGATTAGGTAAGCCATGCCAGGGAAAATAACACTTCATTTCAGATGATAGAATAAAATCATTATTTAATAAGATATTAATAATAAGAAGAGTCCCCCAACTCTCGTCTTCAGTCCATTACCACTCACCACACTACATTGTGCATGGTGGGCGTGTACTCGTCGTGCTCACCTAGAGACAACGACTACTGCTGCTACTGCTACTGCTACTGCTACTACAAGTAGGACCATCATCAATTTGCATCGCTTGCCGCGGCCACCATTTCCTCCAACAGGGCAGGGGAGAGGAGAAGGGGAGGGGGGAGGAGGACTCCGGGAGGGTGGTCATCTGCCGTGACCCCTCTCCGAGAATCTTGTCCTCCCAAGTTTTGCGGTAATAAAAGGCACGTACATGTAGGCAGGACGAGCTAATACCGTAGTAGTAAGTATCATTAGTACGAGCGAGTATTAATTACCAGGTGATACAAGTATTCATGTATACTCGTAGTATTACTCCGTAGTAGCATTACTGAACCCTTGTGCTTCCCTCCCATCCCATCCCATCCCATCCCATCCCCATCCCCATCCCCATCCCCATCCCCATCCCCTCTCCTCCCCTCCCCACAGAAGACAGGAATCAGCCAGTCTCGACATGTACAAGTATGAGCAAGGTGTGGATCAGATGTAGTGTGTGTGTGTGTGAGAGAGAGAGAGAGAGAGCTCGGAGAGAGAGAGGGAGGGAGGGAGAGAGAGAGAGAGAGAAGAGTAGGTGTCCACCGCAAGTCATGACTTCGTGGCCTCGCGTTTTTTCGGCTCTTGGGAAAGAATAGGAAACGGGAAAAGTTGGGCTTGATTGGAATCACACGGCTCTGACGGCACAGACCATGGGAAATCCGAGTGGCGTCCGTTCGGGGGGGGGGGGGGGCAGACATTTTTTTCTTCTTCTTGTTCTTCTTCTTCTTCTTCTCCTCTATCATACAGGATTTGTCTTTCTAGAAATACTACTACTACTGTTTACATCATACTGTATAATACCTTTCCTAATAATCCTTTCTCTATGTCGGTGCCGTTCTTCGGAGGCGCCCGGGGTAAAAAGTTGACTCTTGTCAAGAAATACTTTCCGCCTTCGGGCCGTCCTTATGACGTGACCCTCCCCCCCCCCTTATTTTTCCCTTTATACAATAATACTTTCTATTGACCTGATTTCGTTTGTTTTGGAAATATTATCTCTCTGGTTGCTCTGATTGACTCTCCTTTTTTTTATAGATAATCTCATCCTGATATTTGGTAGTCGATGACTATCCACGCCGTACTCGTACTCGTACTCTGTTCATGTCTGAGGACTATAAGTATTAATACAATATGAATCCTCTCAGCATCTATAAAGGAGTAAGTCACATGATGACTTTCCCTTTCCCAAGGTCGATGAGTCAGCATAGACGGTGTATCGAACAATTCTAGCAGATGATGGTTATGTTTATAGTACACACATACACACACACACGTATTATATACACCCGCACGTACACGCACATACACACATACATACCACACACACACAAACACACACAGCATATCATATTCCCTGTTCATTACAACTCCCATCACTTCGATTCCCGTATAGTATGACGCTAGATTCTGTACCACGTATCGTCACTCGTAACCTTTCACAACTTACAGGTACAGACAACGTATTGCAGCTCAAGGTACAGGTACAACTCTCGAGTACCGAGTACATATCATACCCAGGAGTCAGATTACTCAAAAGAAAAAAACCATCCCCAGACCCCAGACTCGCCGATCCAGTCCCGGATTCCCCTTGTACTCTGTGACAGAGTTGTCCGTCAGGTTACCTCTTCCCGCTCACCTACTTGTAAGCTGTAACCTTGTACTGCATGCACACAGCACGGTATCTGCTTCCCTGCTCATCAAGCTTTCAGTAAATGATGGGACGTTTCTTTGCTTTCTGGTGCGTGTCGCGTGTGTGCTATTATTATACAAGTTTCGTCGTACAGACACACTCATACATGAGAGAGACACATTGACACGCCCATAGTATTATACATTGACTCATAGACACACCGCATCGACACAACCTGGGCCTTCTTGTCTTGGATGCTATTTTTACTACTTGCCGATCTCTTTTTTATTTTTATAACCTCAAACATTGACTTACATTGAACAATACATAGATCATACGTGCCCCCCCTCCCCCCTCCCCCCTTTTTTTTCCCCAGTCTCACCCAGCAGCGTGGCAGTGCTTCACCGTTGGTAGACAACTCAAGACATGCCCACCTACAGGCACAGACAGACGGACGGACGGACGGACGGATGGACAGAGAGAGAGAGTGTGTGTGTGTGTGAGAGAGAGAGAGAGAGAGCCAGAAATAGCCATCATCTGCCGTGTCTCGTCGGCATTTTTAAGTGGTCTTACCTTGTCCCCCCTTCCCTTGACCCAGCATCGCCTCAAACTCCGCCAAGCAAGATTCGCGGAATGTGGGCACTACTTCCTTTCAAAAAGAAAAAGCAAGGAAGAAGAGAGGGAATAGGAAAAGGAAAAGGAAAAAAAGAGACATACATCAAGTTGCAAACTCTAGGCCTCCGATTCACCAGTCAATCTCTTCTGTACGAGTAAAAGAATGTGGACGAGTTGAAACCATACAGAAACCACACACATACACACACACTCTCTCTCTCTCTCTCTCTCACACACTCACACACACACACACACTCTCTCTCTCTCTCTCACACACTCACACACACACACACACTCTCTCTCTCTCTCTCTACGTTTTGTCTCGTCTCTCTTTGGCCATGTTCCGAATCGAAACCAAGTTTGACGACAAGCTTAAAATCTAACCTTGATTTGGACCCTCTTTCTCACATACACACATACATACACATACACACACACATACACACACATATATTCTCTCTCTCTCTCTTTCTGTCTCTCTCTCTTTCTGTCTCTCTCTCTCTCTTGGCTCCCTCTCTCCATCTCTTTGACCTTTTTTGCCAAGTCTAAACCCACATTGCGTGATGCACTTGCGGTACCAGAAGACTACTAGAGGTAATCATATGCGCGACTCAAAACTTGGCTTGTCCACTCACCGACCAGTACCGTGACGATTCTGCGACGAGGTCTGGGAATAATACTGACGAAACTATCATCATTCAACCCGTCGATTACGTCGATCATTCTCTATTGATATCTCTCTCGCTCTCTCCCCCCTTTCCCTCTCTCTCTCTCTCTCTCTCTCTCTCTATGATTGTACGTCTCCGTAGTCCTTGTCATCAATCAAACCTTTCTACTCTTGTCGTGTTCTTGAATTAGATGAATGCTAACCATCATGAGTCTACTAAACACCAATCCTCGCCGTCATATGTCTCACTTTCTCCCTTTCCGAGGGCGGCAATGCACAGAGCACAGGCCTGCCATCATTACAAATGTCTTCTTGGCCCATGTCATTCATACGCCATAGCCCAGGCAGCTGTCTCTGTTTCTAAATTAATACTTATTACCCGTAGGTGATGATACCTTGACACTGGCAATCATCCCTTCCCCTCCTCCCTGTGTCCCTGGTAGAACAGAGGAGAGACAGACATTGAAAAGTGAGATGGCATATAGATCACAATCAGATACTCCGCAGAGATAAACCACTTTGGGTAATGTCGCATATGTCAAATCCATCAAGTAATGATTACTCAACCCCCCCCAGGTTCTCAAATCCCGCATTTCTAAAGAGCACATGATATACACACTCCTCTCTTCATCTCCGAACTTCCCCCACGTTTGTCTCTGTACGGCATTTGGAGGGGAGGGAAGCGGGGAAGGACGAGCGGATGAAGGAGGGAACAGTGAAGAGAGAAGAGGGGGGTTGGGTTGGGTTGGGTTGGGGGGAAGAAGAATGAATGAATGAATGAATGAAAAAAGAAGAAAAAAAAGAGAGAGAAGAAAAATGAGATCTAGATATCATATGTATCTAGCAAGAGTAATGAGATTTCGATTGATGTCATGTTGAAGGAACCAAAAAAATCACTCGTCGACTTTATTGACCATCAACGACTGTACAGATTAGTTGGGGCGATTATTACCATCCAGCTGCACAGGGCAAGGTTTTCGGTCGCTGGCTATAGGGTAACTCAAAATAAAGATAGAGATATACGATAGGGTTCGGCCCCTGGAGAGGTTGATGCCCCCCAGAAGAAGGGGGAGAAGGGAAAGCCGTGGATGAGTTGATGCAACATTGACGCATAAATGGCTGAAATGACACCTGATTCGGCCGGGGAAGATTTCGCTGCCATCGCCGTTTACTGTGTCGACGGTACCTGAGATGGGCGGGACGGCGGGACGGCGGGATGGCGGGATTTGATGTGCCTTGCGTCTGGTGACGTGGTCGCGCATTGCGGTCGGATGTTTTGCCACGACAACATGAGAGATGAAGACATGAGTTTTGACCAAGGCAGACGCACGGGGTGGCTGGACGAGTTGATGAGCCATATTTGCTTGCAAGGCCTGGCCTGCTTGTAATAAGCCTGCTTTAACGCCTGCTTTAACGCCTGCTTTAACGCCTGCATGGAAAAGCATCATAAAAGAGTCATGTGTTTGCAATATTGAATATGATACAGCACAAGGGTGCGATGCTCGCAGAGCAGACGGTATTGGTTAGTCCTTGTATTCAATGCTCATTACCGTGCGTCAGCGGCACATATTGCAATAATAAATGGGGGCCATGTCGGTCCGATCTGATCAGGTATCATTCCATTTCATCAATCAGGCATCTCTTATTTTTTCTATGTATATTTATATATTCACACATAATTTATCTATTTCGTACGTTTTCCCAACTCCATGCAGCCTGCACAGACAGGCATCAATCGTACGTACTTACTTATCGAACCTCTCCGTGCCGTCTCTCTCTCTCATCAGCATTACAGGCCAGTGAGGCATAGCAAACCCAGATGGATGACGGAAAACACAGTGGGTTGAAGAAAAGAAAAAGGCAGGGGAGACAGCTCTGACGGTAAATGAAGGAAAGAAACACACAAAGAATACACCGTCGAGAGCATCCCAACTCTGCTTCGGCTCACCCCGTGGTGCATCCGAAGACCCGCTCCAGGCAATCAGACCCCTGGTCATTTGGCGTCCACCGCTTCGACGACAAACCAGATATCCCCCATATTAATATATATTATTATCTGATATTTCCCCAGTCTACTCGTAGACCCTCATCTTTGATTCTTAACCTTCCCAACATCGTACTCCCCCCCCCCCTCTCCATCAACAGCAAGATATCGAACCGTGTGAGATAGAAGCAGAGAAGAGAGAGTTGCTGTGTGCTCAGTGCCCCCCCCACCACCAAAGTCAGGAACCAGGGGAAAGAAAAAAAAAGAAGAAAAAAACGGGGACATGCGCCCGTACATGACTCCCCATTGCGCATCATGACAACAGCAGTCGAACCATTGTCCTCTTTGGACGGCCGCCGTTGTGGCGATGGAAGAGCTTCCAGACCTGGAACTGATGCTCGAGAACAAGTTTCTTCATCTGCATCCAATATTGTACCCTGCAGCGACCACTGCGACCACGGCAAGAGCAGACAGACGTCGATCGCTCCTGCCCCGGCTCCTTCTGACTTTCGCCCGCCTGCGTCATCGTCGCCCTCCATCATCCCCGGCCCTCCTCCTCCTCTTCCTCTCTACCATCCAACCTACGGCTCTTCTTTTTCTTCTTATGCAAAACCGCAGCAACAGAAACAGAGAGAGCATCACCAAAACCATCTCTACGATACGCCCGGCCAAAATCAAGACATCACCAACCGCAGCAGCGGCCACCTGCCATCGACACGGGTGATACCACTACCGCCCACCACCACCACTACCACCACCCACAACCTCGGGCACACAGGGCTTCCTCTGCCGCCCCACTACACCAACCACCACCTCGGGCACACGGATCCTCTCCTGCCACCCCACTACACCAACCACCATCACCTCGACGCCTCTTCCCTCCTCTCTCAACAGCGCGGTCATCATCATCCTCACCCTCATCTTCCTCCTCTTCCCTACCCCTCTACGGCCCAGACCCAGGCCCATGTCGCATCCTCACCGCCGCCGCCATCCGCACTCATCAATCACCTTGCCCGTCAAAACGACCTGATCCGCGACGCCTGGAAAGCCGAACGTGAACATCTCGAGGCAAACAGGAGTCGCGCCGAAGAGGTCTACCAGGAGGAGCGCGCCATCATGGACGCCATGCAGGATGCCTGGGAGGCGGAGCGGACTGCCCTGCTGGGCGAGATGCGCCTCCTCAAGGAACGTGTCCGGTGCCTCGAGATGGAGAACCGCGCCCTGCGATCCTCGCCGCCTTCATCGACCGACGCGTCTGCCGCTCTCGGTGCGTCGTACCGCAGCCCCGCCGACCCTTCTTCGCTACCTCCCGGTCTTGACGGTGCCGCTCGCCGGCCCCATCACCGCGTCAATATCGGCACACCGCACGGCGCCGCTTCTTCGTCATCGTCTGCCGAGCCGGCATGGTCCTCGGTCTTGCCGCTCGACCCGAGGATGCAGCCGCAGACGCGGAACCCAAAGGACTTCCTGGCCCGTGACGTCGTCGAGGGCGGTGAGTCCGACACCGTCATCGACATACACGAGGTCGACCCCAAGTTGGAGGGCATTCCCCTGCGGGCCACGGCCGTCCAGCGCCTCGGCTTCTTTGGTGGGCAGCAATCTAGCAGGACCTCGGCGGCCACGTCGCCGCCCACCGCTGCTGCGAGCGGCCCCGACGCCGACACCACTGACGATCCACGACGGCTGGGCCTCGTGAAGCGCAACTCGTCCAGGGACACTACCATACAGGTCCTCCACGCCGCCGAATCGCGCAGGCTGACCATGTACGCCGGACACACACCCAACCACTCTCTCTCACTCTTCCCGACCATGAGCATCAGTGCCACGCGTCAAGGCTCGGCGGCCGCGTCGCGGGGCCCCAGCACCCACGGTCTCGGGACTCCACCGCAACAGGCCGCAGAGGAGAAAGTAAGAGGAGGAGAAGACGCCCAAGAGTATGACACGCTTGGTGACGAGCGCGGCCCGGAAGTATACGTCACAGCCGCCTACGATGGTCCCCCGCCAGAGTACCCCGACAGTCAAGGCGAGGTATGCTACGACGACGGCGGCGGCGGTGACGATGGCCTACCCGAGCATCTCGAACCGATAGATGATGTCCGACTCAAAGGTCCCCTCATGGTCAAAAATATCCCTGCCCAGGACGAGATATTCTGGGACCAGGTCAACAAGAAGCTGGAACCTATAAGTCAGGGAAAGGGAGCTCTCCCTGCCGCCATGATGGGTGAGGATGACGACGACGACGACGACGACCTACATGCTGCTTCTTCCTTTTCTTCCCCTCCTCAACCCCGATCTCCCGTCGCCGATGTTACGGACGAGCCTCCTGCCGTCGTCGACGGTGACAATTCCCCCCGAAACCACCGCGATGATGACGCCGTCGACAAGAATATAGAGCCTGATGTCCCCCTCAAGATCAGAAGCACCACCAACTTTGGCGCACCGTTTGGCGTGGTCTAGATGGCCAGTAGCAGGACAGTGAGCCGGTCATCAATAAGCCCTTGACGTATCTGATCAAATACAGTCCAAAATCTCTATAGATTTTCTTTCTTTTTTCTTTACCTTTTCGGTTAGCCTCACGATTTTTGTATTTTCGATAGCATAGGTCTGCGCTGTGCATATACCCTGTGGACTTTTTCTTGTTGGAAATGAAGTTTGACAACAAATTTGTCTACTAGTCAGTGAATGATGAACCGATAGAAACGGAAGTTAGGAAAACAACGAAGAAGACAGCACTAAAATAAACGAAAGGGAAAGAAGATAGAAAAAGAAGCATTAAAACCAAGATCTAGAAAAATGTACGAGAGAGAAACAATAGATGAATGTGTATATATATTGTATATAAATATATGAAAGGACAAAAAGGGAAAGGATAAAAAAAAGACTCCTCCGGACAGGATCGAACTGTCGATCTTCCGATTACGCAAGAATGCTTAACAGTCGGACGCCTTAGCCAGCTGGGCCACGGAGGAAACGTGAACTGAATCAGGAAGTTTGGAAGTGCTGTCCTGAAGCTGGATGGAACAGGGAGATGGACATTGCATGTAAAAGGGTTGGTGGGGGGGGTGTCAAAGAGGGGAGATGTGCGGTGATGACAATTGCAATCCTGCATCACCACATAATACAGGACGACAAAACAAGGTGACGAAACAGGTTCAAATAATTGATTGGAAGATGAAATCAGATCAAGTGAAAAAGAAAAAAAAAGAAACAGGGGAAAGGGGGGAAAAAATTATGACTGAATTCGTCTACGCTACTTATATATAATTCCAAAACACAACGCCATGACGGACGAGAAAGGAACATGATGATCAAACACCCATGGTGAAGTCGTGCTCGATTCCGGGAGTCACGCTGGCCATGAACTGTATTTTATTAGTTTCAAGAAGAAGGGGAGGAGGAGGAGGAGAGAAAGAGGGAGAGGAAAGAGAAGGAGAAGGAGAAGAACGACATACCTTGAGAAAGACGACGAGATACTGATCAACACGGATGGCAACATCATTGTCGTCAGCCTCTCCCTCATTGACTTCCTCCCACTCGTCCTTGTCGGCAGCCTCCTGGGCGCCACGGACGTCGAGTCGATCGATCTCGTCAACGAGGCCCTCCATGCCGGCGACGGCGACCGACGAGGCGGCTACCTGGCCGGAGCGGAGCTTGTCGCGTCGGATGCGCAGGGCGGCGTCGGCCCGGTCGAGCAGGGTCTTCATGACGGGGGCGTGCTTGCAGGGGTGCACCGATGCCATCTTGACGTTGTTGGCGAAGAAGGGGAAGTCTTCGAGGGTGACGGTCTTGTCCTTGTAGTCGCCGACGATGTCGTCCATCATGGCGTGCGGGGCGAGGGGCTGCCCGTCGGGCCTGTACCCGGACAGGTAGAGGCGCGGGGTGCGGTAGTAGGGCGTGTACATGATGTACAGGGTGTAGGTGCGGCGGGCGGTGGCGGCCGAGTCGGCGGCCGGGTCGCGGATGATGGCGTCGTCGTCGTCCTCCTCGTCCTCCATGTCGGGGATGTCGTCGTCGTCGTCGTCTGTGTTGTCCACCCTCTCGGCGTTGCCGGCATCGTCCACGGTGCGCACCTGCTTCGCCTTGAGCGGCTGGGAGCTGGCCAGACCGCCCGTGCGCAGCCAGCCGTCGTCGTCATCGTCGACGCCGCCGCCGCCGCCGCCGCCATCGGCACCCGCGCCCCTGGCACCTTTCTTGCTGGAGAAGTCGTCGCCGTCCTTGACGAGGGACTCCTCGTGGCCCGCGTCGCCGGCGAAGTCGTCGTCTAGGCGACGATGGCAAGGAACATTGCGCGTCACGAGAAACTGCTTTCCGGCCGGGAGGTACGACACCCGGCGCGCCTCAGAATCGGCATCCGCCCACGACCACGTAGGGAACTTGTACACCAAGTAGTCACCTGCTGCGAGGAACTCCTCTGGTGTGATCTGCCCGGTCTGCCGGAACGTGGACGTGTGCGTTACCGGCGTGTAGCGATCGCGAAGAGTGTTGACCGTCGACTTGATGTAATTCATGGTTGCGAGATTTTTTGGGGAGTTTTTTGAGGAGTTTTTTTCTTCTTCTTGTTTTTGTGTATTTCTTTCGCCTTTCTCTCTTCTTCAGCTTATTACTGGTATAATATAATCAACTTGCTCGGCCGGATTGGTCGGTCTCGCAGTGGGCCCTTGTGTGTGGTTGTTATTTGTTGTTGTTGTTGTCGTTGTTGTTGTAGAATTCACACGTTATTCACGAGTTGCGGAGGGGGGGTAGAGGACGAATGGATGGATTCATGGAAAGGAAGAGGAGAAGGACGGAGAAGGAGAGGAAGAAAAAAGAGAGACAATATGATTTGCAATGAAAGAGGAGGGGGATAGATGAGCAAAGGTGACGCAGCGCTCAAAGTCACCCTAATGCCTGGCTGAGCATCTGACGGGGACGAGGGAGGGAGGGGCTCACATGGCGGGGGTGGCATGTGGCTTGAGTTACCGTGACCACCCAAGGGCGTCTGGGTACGAGGGTGTGTGGCTGAGATGACGCGAGGCTGGAGAAAAGTTACCCTGTGTTTCATGACTGGATGATTGATCTGTGCCCAAAGAGCAGTCGTCGGGGTGTATTGAAATCATGGGTAATTTCTACATAGTAGTGATCCTATTGATCTCTATTTCACTTTACAGAAGAGACGAGATTGGGGATGTGCTTTCAAATCTTGAACAGTCATTTGTTCACATTCTAATGATATTATCCGATATTATCTATTATTACCTGTATGAGTTATTCGATGGAGTTCATTGACTTTTTAGAGACGTCCTGCATAGAAGCACATGGACCCATATGATTAGTCATACATATTTCATCTCGCCTTCCCCCCCCCCTAGGACGTCACATCATAGACGAGGAAGGACCTCGAAATTCACAAGCTAAACATGACCTCTCATCACGGCCTGTAGTGAGATCCAAGGCAGCATCCACCAAATATGACTGACGCAGAGGCCAAAGCGGCTTCGGAGTCGCCGGCCGCCCCCGTAGCCATGTTCAAGAAGCGCGGCGCAAAGGGCAAGGCCAACATTCGCAAACGGCCCGCGACGCCGCCACCGGTAGCAGCAGCAGCAGCAGCAGACAGCGACAGCGACAGCGACATGTCATCGTCGGAAGGCGAGTCAGGTCAGATGGCCAAGAGGAGGAAGAAGACGGCGGCGGTCACGGCATCCTCCAAGAACAGCAATGCGGCGGGGGGGATTTCCAGGGACGAGGTCCTCTCGACGACGGCCTTCATGGCGGACCGGAGTGGCATCACAAACTCCAACGACGCCACGAAACACAGCAACTGGTACGACGAAGACACGGACGGGGCCCTGTCGGCCAAGAACCTGCTCGGGTCGACCAGAGGATCGACGCAGGGGCAGTCGCAGACGCAGGCGCGGGCGCAACCGGACGGGACGTATAAGGGCCTGGCGAACCAGACGTCGTTTATCCAGAAGAATCCCGACGCGCCGCAACGGTCCGCGGGTCCGATGAAGGCGTCTAGTAATGTGCGGACGATAACTTTTATGGATTACAAGCCCGACGTGTGCAAGGACTACAAGCAGACTGGGTACGTCTTCTTCTCCCACCCTTTTGATACCTTTTATCATGCGTGTGTACTCCTCGACAGCATTACTAAACAGTCCGGTGAAAAAAAAAAAAACCGACAACATCAACAACAGATTCTGCGGCTACGGTGACAACTGCATCTTCCTACACAGCAGAGAAGATATGAAGCAAGGATGGCAACTGGACCGCGAGTGGGAAAAGGTGACCAAGGGCGGCAAGAGCCAGGCAGGCACGGTGGTGGCCAGCGCCAACAGGGATGGCAAGGCCGGCGCGGCCGATGAGGAGGACGAGGACGAGGCCTTCCTGGAGAAGATACCGTTCGCCTGCGTCATCTGCAAGCAGTCGTACAAGGAGCCGATCGCGACGCGGTGCGGCCACTACTTCTGCGAGGCCTGCGCGCTCAAGCGGTACCGCAAGGATCCGACCTGCGCGGCCTGCGGGGCCAGCACGAAGGGCGTGTTCAACGCGGCAAAGAGGCTCAAGAAGCTGCTCGACAAGAAGAGGGAGCGCGCCGAGAGGAAGAGGCAGGAGGCTATCGAGGCTGGTGAGGAGGTTGACGAGGCTGTCGAGGCGGCAGCCAAGGGGAGGGATGCGGCGCCAGCAGAAGCAGGGTCGTGAGGGTGTTGGGGGAAAGGCTCAACACATTGGGACCAAAAACATGATATCTTGACAGAGATGATGCTGCTCGTATGCGGTACGGAGTACTGTAATCTGTACTTGTATGATAGAAGTCGGGAAATATAGCATACGCTGCGGTCTGTAGTATTGTAATACAATCAGGATATACATGGGATGATGATTGACACACACACACACACACACACACACACACACATGGTGCTCGTACCTATATATATTTCTATGTGCCTCTGGAAGCGGATATAGCATGGCAACGCTTGAAGGGATTCTTCTTTTTCTTCTTCCTTTCCTTCTACTCCTTCCTTTCTTTCTTTCCCTTGCCATAGTAGGCGCCGACATGTTCTCTTCGTCCTCTGATTATGAATTATAATAACCATGATCTCGGGGGGTGGGGCTTTCGAGGCTGTGGAGGAAGCAGGCGGAAAAGACGGCATTGATTGGTGACGAGAGTTTTCATTTTGTTCTCTCACATGTCGGCGGATTGGTGACGAACAATCTGACGAATGGGAGAGGACCACCAATGATCATGGACGGTATTATTACGAGTAATCTGTACAGATTACATGTACGAGAGTAGACAGGCGCATTGACAATGTCCCTCCCCGGTAGGCTGTACGAGTAGCTTTGCTGGAGTGGGACTCGAAATGTCATTCGAGGTTCGAGGACCACCCCCCCTCGTATGGGTCCCCCGCTCGGTCGTGGTGGCCCCACGGTCCATGTGTGGCTGGGGTGGTGGGTGCCTGGGACGGTGGAGAGAGGAGGCGGTGATTGATGGCTGTGGTCGTTGGACGAGCATGGCATGTGCGATGGGTCGTGATGGCAGCGATGGTAGGATCACTACTCTGTGGTGACAGTGAATAGTAGTGACAGTAAATAGTAGTGGTAGTAGTAGTAATACGACCCTGCTGCCACCATCGTGGGAACTGGCTGTTGTACCCGTACACTCTATATTACATGGCAACATCACCGTACCGGGTGCCGATATGACATGTTACCCGTGCTGTTACATGTATAGTCTACAGTCTACAGATGGAGAAGGAGATGCTTTGCATGGTGAATATATGTGAGAACGTGCGGGTATTAGCTGTCGCACTCGAGCCCAGCGCGTCGAGGAATGCAGAGATCCACTTCATCCCATGCGAAGCATCCGCTAATTTCGCCTTTCCAGAGGATTAATATTATCACTACTCCCTACGAGTACGAGTAATAACATCGGTACGGGGTATTGCTTGCTCTTGCCTACGAGTACTCGTACCTTGTACACGTACATGCGGTGATGCAGTCCGGGAAGTTTTGTTTTTATTTTATCTTGTTCTGGTTCACATTGTGGCATAATCGTTTTTCCCTCCTTTATTTTCTTTCATTCTTCCTTCATTTCCGTCTTTCTTCTCTGTGCATCATCCTCCCCGGCAATTTCGGGGAGAGTCTTTATATATTCTGTTTTTATTTTCATTTTATTTTAAAACTTTACTATTTAATAATTTTTTTTCTCGTTCTATTTTCGTACTTCCTTCCCTCTCTTTGTCGATGATCCACCCATCTCTTTCTCTTTGCTGTCAAACTACTGGTGCCTATATCTTTTCTTGTTTTGTTTGTTGTTGTTGTTGTTGTTGTTGTTGTTGTTGTTGTTGTTGTTGTTGTTGTTTGGGAACCAGTTGACGCTGTCTGCTGATCAAGACCCCGTCAAGTGGTATGCGGGCGGGGCTTCCATGGTAGACGAGTAGACGCGTCTCAGTTCCTATCGGTCTTCGAATTTACTCTTCTTCCTTTTTTTCTTCTCCTCTGTCTCTTACTCTGCATCATATCCTATCACCTGTTTCTCTTGTTCCTTTCTTTTTCCCACGCAGGTACGTACGCCTCTATTATTATTACGACTACCGAGTAGAAGAGTTATGATGTAATGATACTAGTCTTGAATGTCATTCCTGATCCGCAATAGCTGATTGTGCCGAGGAACAAGGCACCGTTGAGTTCTAGCCTCCCTTTAGTGGCCGAGACCACTGGAAGCTAGTGGCCGAGACCACTGGAAGTCGAAGAGGACAAAGGGCCTTTGTCGCTGCCAGCTGCCAACGAACTGTTCTGCTGTGTTTTCCCTTCCTCTGATCGATTCTTCATATTCCTTCTTCTACTCGTACCCTTCCGACATCCATTCTCATTTTCTAATCTCATCTCTCTCTCTCTTCTTTATTTCGTAATATATATATAATTTCTTCTTCTTTTCTTTTTCGAGAATACTCCTGTTTTATTTTCTCGATAACTCTCTTACTTCACCCCTCTTCTTTAAGTCAGCCTTGCTCGGTTCGGTAAGGTCTGACCACCCCACCAGTCAGTGCCAGGCGCTTCTGACTGTTACTTCGGATAGCAGAGTAATAATAAAGTGCCAGCACAGCACAGCACAGCACAGCACAGCACCCACACACACGCACACGTGCACGCACACACAAAAGAAACGATACACGTACTTGTACACCTGGCAGACGCTAACAGGCACCCATCTCTTCCCAAGTTCCAGGTACCGTCCGCTGTATTAGCCACTGACATCAACCGCTGTGGACAGCTGCCGTGGCTACCTGCAACAACTGTGCCACCCGCTGGAGCCCAACCGCTCAAACGCTGAATCCCCCATCTGCCCTGCTGCAAAGCCGCCAAACTGTTCATCCCTCCGAGTCTCTCTTGACCCTCGCTCCCGTCTTCTCTTTCTCTCTCTCTCTCTCTCCCCACCGACACGCTCCTTTCCTCCCGACGCAAGGGGGACCCCATTCTCCTCGGTCGACAGATCTCAGCCACTTTTCTTCCTTTTCCTCTCTCTCTCCCTCTCGTGTGCCTCCATATTCGACTCCTTTCACGTGAAAAAAAGAGGGAAAAAGGAAAAGGAAAAGGAAGAGGAAAAAAAGAAACGAAAGAGACAGAGAAAACCAAGAAAAAAAACACCGCTACCCACGGCTTAGGTGCTGCGTGCCGTCATCTTCTACTAGTACTCGTCAACTCGAACGCGCCAAACGACCATAATATTATACCAGACAATCAATATCTTTGATTTGATGGTCTCGCAGAGCATTTAGAGACAGGTCTTCTGTCTGTCGGCCTTGTCTCATCGCCGACGGGTGACCCCATCTCTTTCTACTTCTCACACACTCTCTCTCTTTCATTTCCATTTTTTTTTCGTGGTTTCTTATTCATTTTTCTTCGTTCTTTTTCTTTTCTTTTTTTCTTTTTATAAATATCTTTTTTTTAATATCCCCCCTCTCCCTTCCGTCTTCTTTTCCTTTCTGATCCTCAGTCTCTCGAGGAATCATAGGCCTCGAGAGGAGATCCGCGCGCCATGGCTTCGACCAGGTCAAACCTCCCAGCCCTGGGAGACGACAGTGAAAACGACCCCTTCGTCACCAGTTCGAATACTCCCCCCCATCACCACCGTTTCTCCAGCTTCGACCATGACCTGTTCGCCGCCGGTCCGGGATCTTCGCCTCGCCAGGCCAAGCGTGCCCTCGAGGCCCACCTGGCCGAGACGGAGCGCAGGTTAGACGAGGCGGGCAAGCTCGGCACAGCCCTGGTTGCCCAGCGTAAGAACCTGACCGAGAAGCTGAGTGAGGTCGACAAGATGCAGGCAGAGGGCGAGCTCGGCCCCGACCTGCGCCAGAAGCTCGTCGAGATCGAGAGGGAGTACAACGACCTCGCCAGGGAGTCCGCCAGGGCTTTCCTGCCCAAGCAGAGAGTTCCCAGCAATGAGCCCAGTGCCGGCTCACCATTCGACGGTCGCAGCGGACGAGTGAGTGACCCGATATCCGACGAGCACGCCCTTCTCCCCCTCCCCCCTCCGTTCCCCTGCCCTCCGCTCCAGCGCTTCTTATTGACCTCCCCCCGTAGCGTTCTGTCAGCCCTTCCAAATTCGAGAGCCAGGCTATAGCTTCACCCACCAAGCTCAGTGTCCCCAACAGGAAGATAAGGAACCAGCCCTCCAACCGCGTCCACGACATCGAGTTCGCCGCCGAGATCAGCACATCCCTCATCGCACAAGTCCGCAACCTACAATCTCTACTAGCCGAACGCGATGAGGAGGTCAGGGATCTCAAGTCTGACAAGTCCACCCTCGAGATCGAGTCCGAAAACCTGCACCAGCGCCTCCGCGCCCTCGACGAGAGCGAGAACCGCTACAAGGAGGAGAACTGGAACCTTGAGACGCGCCTGCAGGAGCTCGCTTCGCAGCAGCGTGAGGCTGGTGACCGTGAGAAGAAGCTCGCCCAGGCTCTCAGCACCGCCAACGCCGAGAAGAATGCCGCCCAGAAGGAGCTCGACGAGGTCAAGGCCTCGCACTCCAAGCTGACCGAGGACCACGCCGCCACCGTCAAGCACCACGACATCGAGCTCGGCACCGCCAAGCGCTCCGCCGTCATGGCCGAGGGCGAGCGTGCTACCCTGCAGCGCAAGATCGACGACCTGACGAGCCAAAACCAGGAGCTCGCCAAGGCCTTCTCCACCCAGCGCGGACGCACCACGGAGCGCGAGGCTGCCTCGGGTCAGAGCGAGGACGACCTCGACACGGCCACCGGAAACATCACCCCCGAGCACTCGCCCCCGCCCTCGCCCGTCAAGGGCACGCCCCGCCACGCCATGCTCGAGGCCGAGACCATCAAGACGTCGCTGCACCACGCCCAGAGGACCATCCAGAGCCAGAGGAGCCTGATCCACCGCGAGAAGACGGAGAAGCTCGAGCTTCGCCGCATCGTCCAGGACCTCCGAGATGATCTCGAGCGCGCCCGTGGCGAAAACGCCCCCAGTGCCGCCCCCGTCAACAGGCGCGCCAGAAAGGTCGAGTCCGTGGCGTTCAAGAAGCCGGAGTTCAAGAAGCCGCAGTCCCGCCTGCTGGGCACCGTGAGGTCCAGCCGCCAAGAGGTCTTCATCGACGAAGACCCCGAGTGGGAGGACCAGCAGGGACCCGTGTCCCCCAACTCCGCACCCACTGCGGCAGTCCCGGCCGGTTCCGTTGCCGGTGGCGGTGTTTCCCTCATGCCCGGAGCCTACCAGACCGACGCGTCTGACATCTATGATCACTTCGACACAGCCAACGATGCTAGCGAATCCGCCTTCGAGACGGCCAATGAGCGTGCCACGGAGACGGACGACTTCCAGACCGCCAACGAGCGTTCTACGGAGACGGACGACTTCCAGACGGCTAATGAGCACGCCACAGAGACGGACGACTTCCAGACTGGCAACGAGGGCGTGTCTCTCAGCGACGAGGATGACGATGACGAAGATGACGGTGCCGCCACCGAGACTGAGACGACCAAGGGCTTTGGCGGCATGAGGACGCCCAATCTGCCCGCAGGCCTGTCGAGGCACGCGTCGCGACCTTCGTTCGATAGCACCGCATCCACATCCGCCGACGAGGATGATTTCGACCAGTACTCCATGCCCAGGACCCCGACGGCCACCCTCTCCTCGAAGAGAAGCCGCCTTCAACTCGGCCGTGCTTCCATGAGTCGCAGCTCGCGACAGGGGAGCGAGGAGCCTGCCTTCCGCAGCAGCCCCGTCAGTGTGGCGAGCGGTACACCCATCGCCTCGGGTGGCCAGACGTTGTTCGCCGAGCTCCAGGACTTTGACGACAGCGAAGACGACTCGGTCGGCATTCTCACGCCCAGCCGGAGGAGCACCAGGTCTCTCACCCCCGCATCCACGCGTCGCGCCGCCTCCCCCGTCCCCGCCCTACCTCCCCTGCCCAAGGTCATCATGGTCGACAGCAGTGCCATGACGGACCCCATACGGCCCGAGATTCCCAATCTTAGCATCTCGACCATCCAGTCGGAGACGGTCGAACCCCGTGAGGAGATTTACGTCCCTCCCGTCCTCGGCTTCACGTCGGTCGTGATCGAGGCGGTCGAGCCCGTCGCCGAACCGGTGGTGCTTCCTCCGGCACTCAGCCTCTCGACCATTTCTGCAGAGGACCTGCAGCCCGTTGCGGAGCCCGAGACGCCGCCGCCTGCACTCTCGCTGTCTGTCGTCAGCGCGGAGCACGTGGAGCCTGTCGAGGAGCCCGAGACTCCCCTGCCGGAGCTGTCCATGTCCGTCCTCAGTGCGGAGCACGTGGAGCCCGTCGAGGAGCCCGAGACGCCGCCGCCTGCACTCTCGCTGTCTGTCGTCAGCGCGGAGCACGTGGAGCCTGTCGAGGAGCCCGAGACTCCTCTGCCGGAGCTGTCCATGTCCATCCTCAGTGTGGAGCACGTGGAGCCTGTCGAGGAGCCTGTCACGCCTCACCCGGCGTTCACACTGACGTCGATACTCGCCGAGATTGTCGATCCTGAGGCTGAGCCTGCTGCCCCGCTACCTGCCCTGTCCATGTCGGACGTGCTGGGCCAGCAGATTGAGCCTGTCGAGGAGCCTGAGCCGGAGCCGGAGCACCACAGCCGCACGCTGGCGGCTGCGGCCTTGGCCGCGGGTGCCGCGGGTGTCGCCGGCACCGCTGCAGCCTTGACGGGCCACTCGGACGAGGACGAGAAGGAAGAGGAGCAGAAGAGGAAGCAGAAGGAAGAGGAGGAGGAGGAGGAGAGGAAGAACAAAGAGATCGAGGAGAAGCTACGGGCGTTCACATTCACGGACCTCGTCGTGGAAACCGTTGAGCCCGTGGCTGAGCCCGAGGTTGAGCCTGAGCCGGTGCCCGCGCCCGCGCCCGAACTGGGCCTGTCAGCAATTTACTCGGAGTATCTCGAGCCTGTGGCCGAACCTGAGGTGGTGGTGCCGATGCCCGAACTAGGCTTGTCCGCCATCTACTCGGAGTACCTCGAGCCCCGTGCGGAGCCCGAGGTGATCCTCGAGCCTGTTCCCCTGGGCTACTCCACCCTCTTGACGCAGCAGGTTGAGCCTGTGGCCGAGCCAGAGCCTGCACTGCCGGCCCTCGGCCTCTCATCTATTGCGGTGGAGAATGTGGCTCCCGTCGTGGAGCCGCCGCCTACGCCCCCCACTCTCGGCTTGTCTTCCATTGCGGCGGAGAATGTGGCTCCCGTCGTGGAGCCGCCGCCTAGGCTGGTGCTCTCCTCGATCACTGGAGAGGCGGTCGAGCCTATGGTTCCCATCGATGCGGACCAGCTCCCCGACTTCGGCTTCACCTCCATCTCGTCGGTTGAGACGAGACCCCTCACACCCAGAAGCCCGTGGCGTGATGGCTTCGTCCTGCCCAAGGATAGGGAGATGCAGCCCGAGGCAGTGGTGCCGGGAAGCAAGAGCCTTCTGGGCTCGGTCAAGGCCAGAAAAGTCACACCCATCATTGCCGAGGACGAGACGCGGCAGTCGGTGGGAGGAGGAGGAGGAGAGGAGCGGGAGCAGGATGAGGGAGCGCCTCCGTCGTCGAGGCAGCCGTTCAAGGAGATCTCGGCCAACGCCAACCCCGGCGCCCCCCGCTCCCCCGCCAAGAAGCCGTACACGAGCAGCGATCAGGGTGCCCAGACTTCCTTGACATCCAAGGCCATCGACCATATGCTACTGCCACCCAAGTCTCGGCAGCCCTCCGCTAGCCCCACCCACAACCTCCACTCCAGGCAGCTGTCTGCCGCCAGCGTGGACACGTCCGGTACCACGGGCACCGTCCGCGTCCACCGCTCCCCGGAACGTACCGGCAGCCCGACGCCCAACAAGGGCAAGAGTCCGGACGGAGGCTTCTCGGACAGCGGGTCGCTCGTCGAGGCTAATCGGGCAGGCTCGGCCGGCGGTGCGTCGTCGAGGCAGGGCAACATGGGACCTCCCCTATGGCCCGCCTCTGTCCTGAAGCAGCAGCAGCAGCAGAAGGATAAGGAGAACACACGGCCGACGACGCCGAGCCAGCAGGGCCCGGTAACCACGATCCGGACTACGCCTGCTCTCCGCGTAGAGCATAGCCACCACCCGGCGCAGGGCAACGGCCGGGAGTCGTCCTTGCTTTCGCGGCAGTCGTCGGTTTCGTCATTCGTGTCGGAGCTGGACAGCCGGTTCAACATGCGCCCTGGCGAGATGATGGACCCGACGGGTCTGGGACCCAACACGGACCCGCGCATGATCCAGGCCATCACGCAGACCATGATTGGCGAGTACCTATGGAAGTACACCCGCAAGACGGGCAGGGCCGACATGTCGGAGAAGAGACACCGCCGATACTTTTGGGTGCACCCGTACACCCGGACCCTGTACTGGAGCGACAGCGACCCTACGACGGCCGGGAGGACGGAACGCAAGGCCAAGAGCGTGCCCATCGAGGCGGTGCGCGTCGTGACGGACGACAACCCCATGCCTCCCGGTCTGCACCGCAAGAGCCTGATCATCATCTCGACTGGCCGCACCATCAAGTTCACCTGCACGACGGGTCAGCGCCACGAGACGTGGTTCAACGCCCTGTCGTACCTCTTGCTGCGCACCAACACGGCCGACAGCCAGTCGGACGCCGAGGACGTGGCCGGTCACATCACCAAGGAGGACGTGGACGAGTTCAACCCCCCGTTCGGCCAGCATGCCGCCTCGGGCCACAACCGACCGCGACCCCCTCCGTCGTTCTCGTCATCATACAACTCTGGGTCGCCGACCCCCGCGTACGGAGCACCATCGCCGGCAGCAGACACTCTCGCCATCCCCACCCTCACCCCCTCAAAGAAGCAGCAGAGCCAGCAGCAGCGCACCACGCCTCAGAGCCAGAGGTCTTCGATAGGCAAGCTCAGCGGCTATTGGAGGACGGGAGGGTCCAAGTTCTCGGGCACCCTATCCAGCCTGCGGAGTCGGAGCGGTGCGGCCTCGGTGAACCAGGACCACGCCATCTACCAGACTAGCGACACACACGACAGCGCAGAGGATCTTCGTGAGATGATTGAGAGGCAAGATAGGGAGGCCGATAAGTTGGAGAATGTCAGGGCATGCTGTGATGGTAAGTATCTCTCTCTCTATCTCTCTCTCGCGCGCGCCCCTCAACTAGGCCAAGACGAGAAGATTTGCAAATACTGACTGACAAATCAACAGGTAAACACGACGTCGGCACTCTGACGAAGAAAGGACGTCCCGGCTATAGTCACCATGACCATTCGGCAACGAGTACACCCATGGCGTCGTCTGTTCGATCCAGGGCATGATATCTTGTTTTCTTCCCTTCTCCCCCTCTCCCCTTACACTCTCACTCTCAACCTCCCTCTCCCCCCTCATCTCTTTGACCTGTCTCAAGGTCTTCAGCTCTTTTTCTTTTTTTCTTTTCTTGTTTATTAACGAACCTGACGAACATTTCGGTTTTTCCTTTTGTCGAGAACAAACAACTACTATATCAAACACCACAACCTCAACATATAATCTCTCCAGTCATTCACTCTCTTTTCCTTTCCTTTCCACTCTGTTATAAAAAAACTTGTCTCATCCCTGTCATTGCATTCTTTTTCTCTTTCTCAGCCTCGTTTATAGGCGTACTGCTACTCTCATTCTCTTGCTCCTTTCATTCTCGTCTCTTCCCCTCTTACTCATATCCTCCTCTGCACCGTTTTATATACTTGGAGAGATAACCAGCGGCCTGGGTATAATAATCTTTTCTTGTACCAGTGGGGCGTTTTTTTTTTTGTTTTCTCATCCTCACTTTTTCGTTCTGCTGCTACTTTCTTCTCGTCATATTCTGTATTCTCGGTCTCCCGATATTACTCGAAAGTGAAAAAGAAGATACGAAATTCCAAGCTCCAACCGCAGCACTCTGTCCATCCCCCCTACTTCTACTCAGCAGAAGTTTAAAAAAAGAGATACCAGATCTGAATCACAACCTTTTGCATCGCAGATTGTATGGGGATTCCCTTGTATGAGGAGTGAACGGAAGTGAGTGGGAGACAGGAAACAGGAAACAGGAGAAAAAAAAAGAATGGGGATGGAGGAGACCTTGGGTTTTCGGGCTTCACCCCCCTTTCCCTCTTCTCTCCGGATGGTTATGACTGAAATGAATTGTGCTTTGTTTCTTTACATAAACTATTTCTTGAATATTACAACTCTCGCGAAATCACTTCCGTTGCTCGTGTCTCTTCTCGTATGTCTGGACATGTTTATATACAAGGCTGGCACGATGGAGTAAAAAAGGTCTTGGGGGGTGATGAAATGTCAGTGACGCTGTGACGTTTATCTGGTCTGCCCGGCTTAGTCCCAGTACGGGTAACCGTACAGGTGATCGTGCAGGCTGTATAGGTACCCTTACAGGCCATACAGGTAACCGTACAGGCAGCCGTACAGGTACTCGTATAGGTACTCGTCCAGGTAATCGAAACCCCCTACAATCTCACTAAACCGTAATTGGCTCAGAAGGCCCACATCACATGACGTACAAGGTCCCGCCGTGCCTGCCCTGGACGGGTTTCCAGGTTGTGCCTCCCGTGGACCTCTCTCATTGGAGTTGGTCGTTACCAACACAAGCACAAGCTGTTGAATCCCACTTCTGTTTCGTTTCTCGTATCCCTTACATGCTCCTTCTCTACACGTACAATCCTCTCTTCTTCTCTCTTCATTAGCAGTCCATCTCGTGGCCGTGTTGTGCTTCCCTCCCTGTTCCTGTTCCTTCTTCCCCGCTTGCTTCGATCCGTCTTGCTTACTTGTACGTTGGACCGAGGTGGTGACGCTCAGCTAAACCGTCCACCTGCACCCCCCCCACCGATCTGCTCCTCTTGCACGGCAGAGAGAGAGAGACATCGAGAGGGTTAGCAGCAACGACAACCCAACGCCTCAGAGGGAGATATGGGGAGCTGGTTATCTTTCTTGCTAGCTTACCTCTTTGGTGGCATCACCTTTATCCCTCTCATCCTCCTCGCCGTCTACCTCCATGCCACCTATACGCTCCCGTACCGACCGGACCCCTCGTCGACCACCACGACCCGCAGCGGCGGCAGCCCGGAACGGCACGATGAAGATAGCTTAGTGCAGCCTGGAGATGAAACCGAGGCCCTCGATGAGGCAAGAAGGAAGGAGAAGGAGAAGAAGGAGAAGAAGAGCGACCTGGGCTCCGATAAGCCGCCGGCTGGGGCTGGTGCTGCCACAGACTATCCTGATGTATCGGCCGGCTACTTTGCCGTGTGCAGAGAGTACACGCCCATGGGGATCAATGCGAAACCCATCGAGAGGCCGACGCCGGTGGGAAGCACCACGGTGGCCGCACCCAGCCCTAGCGTCTACCAGACAATGTACAGGAGCCTCTTCGATCGCAAGGCCGGACCGGCCGGACCGGTCGACAATAACAGCATGAATCAGAGGCCGAAGAGGGCGGGCAACGTGTTCTACTTGGTGCTCAGGTACGTCTCGGGAAGGGGCAGAGGAGAGAGGAATCACTGGCGGCGACTGACGAGGAATGCAGGCACGGCCATCTGATGCTGTTCGACGACGAAGAGCAGATCGAGGTCCGACACGTCATCTCCCTCGCCCATCACAATGTCAGCATCTACTCGGGCGGGGACCCCACGCCCGAGGGCGAGCTGTTCATCAAGCGCAATGCCCTGTGCCTCTCGAGGAGGACTGATGGCATCGACCAGGCCCCCGACGCTCAGGTGTCCAAGCCCTTCTACCTCTTCTCCGAGAACTGCTCCGCCAAGGAGGACTTCTACTTCGCCCTGCTCCGGAACCAGGAGCAGTCGTTTGGTGCCACCATGAAGGTCCCATCCCCCAAGAATTTCCAGGTCAAGGACGTCATCTCCCTCGTCCAGAAGCTGCACTCGACAGAGGACCACCTGCATACGAGGTGGTTGAACGCCCTGCTGGGCAGGGTCTTCCTCAGCGTCTACAAGACCAAGGACCTCGAGAACTACATATCGGACAAGATGACCAAGAAGATCTCGCGTGTCAACCGACCGTCGTTCCTCAAAAGCATCACCATCAGCAAGATTGACACGGGCGAGGCCGCCCCCTACTTCACCAACCTGAAGCTCAAGGACCTGAACGTCGAGGGCGAGTATGTCTCCGAAGCCGACGTCAAGTACTCGGGTAACTTCCGTATCGAGGTGGTGGCCACGGCCAAGATCGACCTGGGCGCGCGCTTCAAAGCCCGCGAGGTCAACCTGGTGCTCTCGGTCACGCTCAAGAGGATCGAGGGCCACATCCTCTTCAAGATCAAGCCCCCGCCCAGCAACCGCCTCTGGCACTCCTTCCAGACCATGCCCAAGATGGAGATGAGGATTGAGCCGGTCGTCAGCGCCAGGCAGATCACCTACGCGCCCATTCTGCGCCAGATCGAGAACCGTATCAAGGAGGTGGTTGCCGAGACTTTGGTCCAGCCCTTCTGGGACGACCTCCCCTTCTTCAACACGGAGCACAAGCAGTGGAGAGGTGGTATATTCGAGGGAGACGACAATGTGGCCACGGGTTCTGATCACAAAGGCGCCCCGTCCTCTGCCTCGGCGGCGGCTCGACGTGGCAATGCCGATGGCGTGGACCGTGCCGAGAAGAGCGCTTCTGCTGCTACATCGCCCGGACCTGGCGATGAGGCGCACCTGCCGTCCCCGACGCTGCCGCTTGAGAAGAGCTACAGCGTGCCCATCACCGAGATGCCTGCCCAATCGAAATCCCAGCCTGCAGGCACAGGGCTGTTTGGAAGGAGGATGGGCAAGAACACTGGCAACCAGACGCCCAAGTCTCCCGCATCGGCGTCCTCGACCAGCCTCGAGACGAAACCAGCGCCCTCGCCCGCATCCGCACCTGCACCGCCTGCACCAGCAGCCGCAGCGGCCGCAGCGGCCGCAGTAGCCCCCTCGCCCAAGAATCTCAGCCAGGCCACGACGCCTGTTGTCGGGACGGACGCCGCCCACGCCGATATCTACCGTCCGTCGACCTCGCCTCCGGATCACGCTACCAGCTACGTGGCTGCGCTGCACTCGCGGTCGCAGGAGTCATCGCCGGCCGTCACGCCGGGCACCTCGCCGGCAAAAAACCCGCCTCCTCAGCATCAGAAGCAGGCGAGCCACTCGTCCGGTGTCTCAACTCCAAAGAATGGAGCTAAAGGCAATGGCAACGATGCGGACAAGACACCCGTGCCAACCACCTCGCAGCAGAGGAGGAATACGGCGTCCTCGGTCAGCTCTACCTCGACGGGTGGAGATGTAGGTGGCAGCGGCGCACAGTCTCCTAGGTCATCGAAGTCGCTCAAGGAACGGCCCGCGCCGTCTACTCTTCCTCGCAATTTCACAATGAAGGGAGAGGGCAGCACGTCTACGACGTCTCTCAAGGGTGAAGGGGCCGATGACAGCAACGGCAACGGCAACGGGAATGGAAACGGCAACCGCATCCAGACCCAGAAGAAGAACACGCTGGCGGCTGTCACCAATGCTGCAGCCCAGGCGAGACAGTGGGGGTGGAATGCCATCCAGCGGCAAAAGGATGGGCGCAAGAATGGTGACGGCTCCAGCAGCCCGCAAGTCGACCTGTCGCAACCCATGGGGCGTGGGCAGCCGTTCCCACCCCCGGGGACGCCCCTCCCCGGCCCTACCAGCGGAAAGACGAAGATTGCACCCATCCCCGTCCCCAAGCGCAGACCGTCCTCGACCCAGGCGATGTCTCCCGGTGCGTCAGCCCACGAGTCGAACATGGCTCACCATCATCAGGGGACACCGAATGACGGGAGCCAGCGGAGAAGGCGCAAGAAGAACAGCCATTTCGAGGACGAAGGCGAGGAGCAGAGCATACTAGTCGTGGCAGCGCCTGATGAATCGGACCCCGAGACGCCGGCTTTCCAGGAGGGCGACGGGTACGACTCGTCGTCTGAGCTGGAGGCAGCCGGCGTCATGGAAGAGGTTGCCGATGTACCACAAAGAGCTTCGTCGTCATCTCCCTCTAAGGCACTATCTAAGGCTGCCGCTGCGTCTCAGACGAGTCTACCTCTTACGAATCCCGCGTCTGCGTCCAAGGAGAGCGACGGTGGACGGGAGGCTGCCCCCAAGGATGGCACAGGTGAGGAGAGCTCCACTATGCAGGCTCAGATTCGAGGAACGGCAGGCGATGATGGTCCTCAGGAGACAGCGTCAGTGTCAGCATCGAAGCCCGACCAGGACCTGTCAAGCAGTGACGACGACGAGGGTCTCTCGAGATGGATGGATGACACCCCAGACGAGGACACTGGCGACTCTTCTCAGGAGAAGGCTTCTCCATAGGACAAGGACAAGTAGGATGATGCTGCTGCTGCCACTCCTGCTGTTGTAGAGAAAGACCGTCAACCGGATACGAAAAGCGTAAAGCACACACATACGAAAACAATGTAGACTGGACTGGCTTTTACCATTTTCATAGCGCGGATTTTTTTTTCTTTTTCGAGCGGGGCGTTTGGGCACATATGAATTGTAGCATCATTGTATACATATTGGCTCGTGATATATATAACCTGTATGTACGGCGAATGATTTGCTGTTTGTGAGCATGTGATTATCAGCGGGTCACCGAAAGATGGAGGAAAAACAACCCCA